GAGTCTGAAGCACGCTTGGATGAAAACACATCAAAAACCTGCGGACTGATAATTGGAATTAATAGACAAAGTAATAGACAAAGTAATAGACAAAGTAGACTAAGAGCGATCTTATTGATGGAGCGGGTGGTTGCAATGGGCAAAGAAGGTAAGTAATAGACTAACCTTGCTCGGGATGTGAGGTGGCGCGTGAGTGTAAAGTAGGCTCGGATGAAAACACATCGAAAATCTGCGGACTAATAATTGGAATTAATAGACAAAGCTATAGACAAAGTAGACTAAGAGCGATCTTATCGATGGAGCGGGTGGTTGCAATGGACAAAGGAGATAAATAATGGAGTAGCTAACGGCAACCCATGAGAGGCCCTATAGGTTAGTCCATGTAACCACCACCCATATCAACCGGACTGATGATTGAAATTGATTGAAAAAGCTATAAACAAAGAAGACATAGTAAGGATAGAGCTATCCTTTTGGTTGAAATGGGTGGTTCGTATAGACTAAGGGAGAAAATGATGGACTAACTATCGGGTCCCTCGTGAGTTGCCTTTACTTAGTCTATTACCTACCTCCTTTGTGCATTGCAACCACCCGCTTCCACCAATAGGATCCCTCCATATCCCTTTTGTCATCTTTGTCTATAGCTTTGTCTATCAATTTCAATAATCGGCCCGCAGAAGGATCGCTCCATTGCCCCTTTGTCTTTATGTCTATCAATTTGTCTACCAATTCCATAATCAGCCTGCTAGCGCTATCTCGTCCTCTTTCAGGCAAAGAAATGTAATCTTATTTCAACGTTGCAAAATTCCAACTCCTAAATTGTATTTTTATTAGGACACTGTTGGGAATTTTTGATTGAAAGCATACCCAATTTTTCTTCTGATTGCACGACGTAATCAGAAATATCTTTGACAGAAATTTTACAATCACGAATGGATGGTTAAATTACGAAACCGCCTTACCTCTATTACGGTGTTTCAACATTTCCGCTTCTTTTTTATTTTTTCGGAGAGAAAAAAGTCAAATTCATAGGCTGAAACCCATACAAAACCTCCTACCAACAGAGAAGAGGAATCAAAGAAGTTCTCAAGAAATTATGTTGACCAGTTTTTTGAAGGGAAAGTAAAGTATGGCAGGAAGTATGCATAGGTGCAAATCTCTATCTGCATTTGAGGTGCGTGCATCGTTGCGCCCTTTCTATGCCAATTTTTCAATTCAAGAATAGAGTTACGATCCTTCGTCAGGGAAATGACAAACTTTATACGAGCAGTATAGACGGATAGTTTGAACAACGGTACAAGTCGTAAGACACAAATCCTACAATGTACGAATTTAAAGCTCTTGTGTAACACGAGTTTTCATGTATTTTCCAACTGTTAACCACTTTGACTTAACCTCTCAAAAATTTCACCTATCTTCACCATTCGTAGCGTGCATTAAACGCCTCCTTAAAATTTTCTGCCGCAAACATTAATCACTCTGAAAATCAATGATCGCACTCAAATCATTGTCAATGCTGTTGTCGCACAAATCGCAATATTTGGCAACGCTACGGCGATTCAATGCAGCTCTCCTGAATTCCGAGGTTTGTACGGCCAACGCAAGCTTAACCACTGTGATGTTCCTCAAATTTCAGCCAGAAATTCTCAGGAACGATCCAGAAGACAGAAATATCTCAACCCGATCTCTAGCTATTCTTCTGTGCCAAGAGAAAACCCCTCACGTTGCCTAATGGTCTTCCATATAAAAATCAATTATTTTATGCATTCTTGGGAGTATATTTCTCTGAAATTTTAGGAGGATTTCATTCCTCCTTTAATTCAGTGAGTCTGATAATTTCTAGAAAAAGTATTCAGAACTTTTCTAAAAAACGAAATGCTTTTAGCGAGGCAAACTTGACAACAATCAAATGTTCATTGTTCATACTTCGTTTTTTTGCTTGATAGTATTAGACCTCAAATAAATTCCAAATTTAAGAGGTTGCCCGAAACTGGAGTAATATGCTGCCGATCTTAATGAAGGCCAAAAATCGCCTTCAAATGAGTGAATAGGCAAAATGATCCCCCGAGTGTTCGATTAGTTGCTAGAACATAAAATCATACCCCCGAACGGGATCAATATGCTACTTTGCCTAGGAGAAACAGCTTATGACCCTCTAGACTTTGCAAAATTTCTCTTAACAAAACACGCAGTTTCTGGGAAAGTTTTGAATAAGTTTCGCCTTATCTTTCATTATTACACCAAATGCAAATCCTCCATGTCTGAAACTATTAAGACCGGAAGCCAGGGCACATGTGTTTTTGGACTCCCTCATTTTCGAATGTCTCGACTGATCTAAAAGACTAATTTCCCAGAACTGGATCAATAATCTACCGCGTCAAGAAAAAGCACTGTATAAATATTACCATGTTGCCAAATTTCTCAAGATAAATAATCAATTTATTTGAGAAAATTATATGTTTTCTCTCCTTGAAATTTTCAGGTTTTCTTTTCATCTCATTTCCAAATCGTTTTTTCTGAAAAATTTGAAGTAAAATAGTCACAAGTTTCCCCGAAAATTATTTTTCTATCATAAAAAATAGAGCAGCGTCTTAAAGCTCATACGACATTCTTTCCGAGAACGGCAGTATGGGAAAGCCTCTTTTCGTCGAATCGGATGGAAATAAGTCCAGCAGCTTGGAGCTTCTTCGAATGCCGCCCTAACAATAATTATTTTGACTTAAGCTGAGACTGAAGAAAGTCAAGAAATGTTGATTAAGAAACGAAAATCGCACTCTTGTTGCTGTTTTCTGTGCATGCCTGAGTCTTTCAAATCCTCTCAGTTCCCTTGCCGCGCTTGAGGGCGAAAAATTGCCTTCAAATGAGCGCATAGGCAAAATGATCTCCTAAGTGTTCGAATAGTTGCTCAAAAATATCCAGTGATGAATTGGATCGTGCTAACAGTTTTCTTGCCGTGCTAGAGGTGTTTGTTGTGTTAGCCTTTGGACGTTGCCACATTTCCTCTGATAAAAACAAATTCTTACATTATCCCTTTAATTTTACAGTTTTGTTGGTCTGCAATTTAATCTGAAGTAACTCACGGCCCGAAGAGAGGATATTCATACTTCTTCTGCTAAAAAATAAACTTTTCCTGGGAGAAACTTGTCCTGTCCCGGTGTCTATCCTTTGAATTGATATGAAATGTATTTTAAATTGCTTTTTAATTAATAGCATGCGTTTGAAAAGCGTTAAACCATCCGAATGGAAATTTTGCGAAAAAATTGAAAATTTGGCCTTAAAGACGGCGGAACGGGCTAAAGACATGGGACGAAATTTTTAAACAAACATGAGAGTTATTTTTAACCGAAAGCGGTCTCAGCGCTTAATTTTGAGTTTTCGAAAAAATTCCAAAACGGTCCACCCTGGGGAGCTTTGGCAATATCCAAAGTTCTTACGTCGTTTTCACTCAGCACGGAATTCTGCCGTCCAAAGTGAAAATGCCGTTTCTCCATTCGACATTTTTTCGATGTTTCTCTGACAAAATACTGTTTTACAAGAAAACTAGCAAATATTCATCCCTCATATTTCCAGGTCGATTTTGACATACCATTTGGAACTCAAAACTTTAAAAATGAAGTCTTGTCACACTCGGATTCTCTTATATCAGAGCAGTATGTGCGGAAGAAAATTACAAACTTTTTAATGGAGGTACGGCGTTTTCGCTGTGGACGGCAGAACAGGGTGCCTACAAGTCCGGAATTTCCGGAAAGTCCGGAAATAGTACTGATTTTTTAAGGGCGGTCCGGAAGTACTGAAAAAGTGCGGAAATTCCACTAGACGGTCCGGAATTTATTTCGGATTTATTAATTTTATCATTTTTGTCTCAATTTGAGCGAGAAATTCAAATTTTTCGAATTTCGTCAAATGAGGGTACTGAAAAAGTGATACATTTTTCCGTTGAGGAGGTGCCGAATTTCTCGGAAACGTACTGAAAAAGCACTGTAAAAGTACTGACTTTTGGTCAGCCTGTTTTGGTAGACACCCTGCAGAATTACGGAAAAGCCTCTTTTTGTCGAATCGGACGGAGATAAGTCCGGCAGCTTGGAGCTCGTCCGGAGAGCGTCCCCACACTAATTATTTTGACGTGAGCGGGGAGTGAAGGAAGTCCAGAAACGTTGATTAAGGATGAGCCGACGGTGTTGCCGAACCGGGGCCGAAAATCGGTTTTTCGCGAGTGCGCCCAAATGCGGAGGCGGGAGATTTGGCGGGGCCGTAAGTCAGATGCAGGATCGCGAGCCTCGAGTTGAGGTTTTTTGATGGGATGAGCCACGACCGCGTCATGGTGTGTTGTTGGTCTGACAGGCCCCGGTTTTGAGTTCGTCGGCGAGGGCCCCGAGGGCGGCGCATTCCGCGATCCGTCGGGAATTTCAGCGAAATATGCCGCGAAATCCCGTCGTCCCATCGGGATTCACACCAGCAAGATCTCGCGAATGGAGCGAGTTTCTTATTTTATTTGTATCTTTGTCGCGGGCAAATACGAGTGGAAAATCCAGGTTTTTCGTCAAATGCCTAGGTGAGTAGTCAAAATTGGACATATTTATGCTAAGAGGAAGTATGTGCAAGTGGAGAGATGGGGTGTGCTCGTGCAAGCTGCATAAGCAACAATGTAAAAGTGGATATGGTTCCTTTTGAGAAAATGGAAAAGCGGGATTTTACATTAAATCCAAAGGAACTGAGCTCTAACGACTGTTTTCTTAATTTCAATCGTATTTTTGCTTGAATCAAAACGAAATCCGCTTAAATTAAGAGGCTTGGTTCTTGATTTAAGCTAGATTCTGATTGAATTATGAGTACTTTTTCTTGTCGATGTTATCAAGAGTCTGGACTCTAGATCCAATGTGTTTTTTTTCCAGTGAGATTTGGCAAAGCCTGTGGGTTCATATGGCGTTTTCCCTTAGCACTGCAACATTGTTTTCTATATATTTGCTTAGCATCTGACGAGATTTGTGTTTCTGTTGCAGGTTTTTTAAATGCAAATCCGGATCCAGGGTTACGGGCGCCGGCCAACTACGGGTTGATGGATCAGCTGGCCGCGCTGCACTGGATCCAGGAGAACATCGCCGTGTTCGGAGGGGACCCGACCAACGTCACGTTGCTCGGCCATGGAACGGGGGCCGCCTGCGTCAACTTTTTGCTCACGTCCAACGCCGTTCCTGACGGTGAGTTTCCTCTTTTTCACCCGCGCTTAAACGTCCAACTCATAATTGAATCCCTTAGTTCGGAAACAACCCATCTCGGAAAAAATCGTATTCGATACATCAAACAGGTGAGATAGATACATGAAACGGGCGAGATTGTATCGATATCGATTGGTTCAAAACACAAACATAGCCTCAAAAGTCAATTGAGTAATCTGATGGAACAGGTTTTTTTGTGATAGATTTTTTTATTCGTTTGAGCCTAATGGTAATGAAAAGTAAAATTGTTAGGAATTTTCTCATTTTCGGCTTTTTCAACTTTAATCCAAACATTTTCTTTTATAGTTATGTTTTGTGCTATTGTTTTGAATCAAACGATGCATCGATCCACTTTCGAATACGATCCAAAAGCGAATTTTTGGGTGTTAGTTTGCGCTGTGTCGAATCGACCAAATCTCTGGGTTGAAGTGACCAAATCTTTGTATTGAAAATCTGCGACCTCGTCAAAAGTTCGGCTCAGGCTGCTAGGATCGAACCTGGGTCACATGAGGAAAATTCCAATGCGCTTGCCATTCTCAAGTCGCAACTTCTGACTGGTATCAAAACGACATTAATTTAGCGAGAAACTTCCCCCATCCCAGATGTTTGAGAGTAATATACAGTTTTGGTTGATTTAACCAAGAATCTGGCCGATCACTCAAGATCCTTTGGTTGATATTACCAGAAAAAATTAACCGTACACTAGGGAAGTCGACACAACCAGCGGCTGGTGAAAAACGCGCCAGCTACCGTGCGGTAGTTACGATAACTACCGCGGTGGAGGTCACAACGAACCCGGTAGTTACATCAAAAACCTTGTATGTTGATGCAACTATCGGGTTAGTCGTGACCTCCACCGCGGTAGTTATCGTAACTACCGCACGGTAGCTGGCGCGTTTTTCACCAGCCGCTGGTTGTGTCGACTACCCTGTTTTTTTCCGTGTGGAGAAAAAAACACATTGGATCTAGAGTCCAGACTCTTAAAAACATCGACAAAAAAAATACTCCTGATTCAATCAGATTTAAGCTTAAATCAAGAACCAAGCATCTTAATTTGAGCGGATTTCCTTTTGATTTAAGCCTAAATCTGCTTGAATCAAGAGTCCTTTTTCTTGTCTATGTTTTCATGAGTCTGGACTCTAGATCCAATGTGTTTTTTTCCAGTGTAAGTAATCATGAATACGTTATTTTCATTTGTGTAGAGACTTGTGAATTTGTCGAGTATTGCTGAGGTGTTGACTTTTTTTGAGAGGAAAATAGGTAGGTGGCGAATCTTCAGTTCTAAAGCCTCAGTCATGATATATTGAAAATTAGACAGCCCAGGATCACTGAACGATTGATTATAATACTTCGCACAGAGAATGTTCAACCCTCTTGTGACAGGAATGTGCTGATTTTTCCAGAGTAGTATTCCTTTTGAAGTGCTTTCATAAACATATTTTCCGGTTCTTCCGCTGTGACTCTGTGCAAAAACGAAGAGTTATCTTTCGTGAATACTGAGAACGAGAGTCTGCCTTGTGCTTTGTGACTTGTGTGCTTGAACGCAGGTTGACAAATTTCTTCAGAAAATACTGTTTTTTTGAGGGATGGAGTATCTAGTGCCCGGAGGCCGGGTTCCGTCTGTTCTTGTTAAGAGAAAGAGCACAGCAGACTCTAAATACAAAGTATGCTATCAAATTTTAAACGAAAAATTGGCTGTTGAAAATTTTAGTACGTTTTATATCTTCTTTGTGCTTAGTAGCGTAATTATTATTGAGATATTTCGCGTTCAAATGAAAATTTCAGCAGTCTAAGTAGAATCCATTTTTTGTTATCTTGGGCACAGGCAGGATAAAATCCAAAATTGGGCATCTCATAGCACTTCGAAAATTTTAAAATTGAGCCCGAAAGGGTTGATATGCGGAAAGTCACGTGAGAAAATGGGATGGTTAAATTTTTGTTCAAAATTTTTCAAATCGCCTTTTTTGCTCTTTAGAATTGATTTGAGGTTTAAAACAACAAATTGCGGCTGAAAACTTTTTTAAATTATGTCTTCTCAACCATCTGTCAGATCTTTAATTGTCAGGGAATTTCGCCAAAATATGCCAGGGAAATGTCAGGGAATTTCATTTTTTAAATTCTGCGGCAACCCTGTATGGGCGGAGGGGCTGGGGTTTGTTTACGTTGATCCAACTTTGGGGCTCCATGATAGCCGACCAATCAGAGAGCAGCACACTTTTTCTGCAGTAAAAGGTTCCCGATGGCAATACTTTCTCGTATATAGGTACCCTACAGCCATGCTAAGGAAAAACGTCCTATGAACATTCGAGAGTTGCCAAATTTTCCCGAATAAAACATGCATTTTTGGAGGAAGTTATGAATATTTTTCCTCGAAATTTTCAGTGACTTAAGGTGAAACTGCGAACAAAATTATCTGCAAAATTGGAAGGAAAATATTCATAAGTTTACCAGGAAATTCGTGTTTTATAAAAGAAAATTTGGCAACGCCAGAAGGTTCATACGGCGTTTTTCCCTTAGCACGGCAGTATACAGGTACTCTAATGCACCCTCGTTAGGATACCGTGTGAATCTGGCAAAGCAGGGGCGTGAGTAGCCGAGCAGAAACCTCTTCTACTCGCACACGGCGCTGTGCTGTGGGAATGGATGTTTACGCGGTGCCACGGGAGTAGCTTGAAAGGCAGCCTCTCTTCAAAATGGCAATAAAAATCCTGGATATGCATCGTATGTTTAATTCATGGAACTGATTGATGAAGTAGGGACCCCCACAGGATACGGACGATCCTCGAATAATATCTTACGTTGCCGTTCCGCCCCGAATTCATCGACACACCGACTCGCGAAAATGTTTACTTCGATTGCGGTGCGCTCAAAATAAACATGGTTGCCACAGTCAAAGAAAACCGGGAATTGTAAGGGAAAATGACGACAATGTCAGGAAAAATTTGTAAAATCACCTTCATTTGCTTTCTAGAATGGGTTTGAGGTTTCGAACAACAAATTTTGCCCGAAAACTATTTTCAATTATGCCTTCTTAACCATCCGTCACATTGTTAGGAATCCCACCAAAATATGAAAGGGAAATCAGGGAAATGTAAGGGAATTTCATGTTCTAAATTTTGTGGCAACCCTGGACAATATTATTGAGGGGCTTGGAGGACAAAGCGCATAAATGCAATTTTTGAAAAAATTGAGATATTAATGATTTCAAGTGAACCTTGTATTAATGCATATCCCGTGAAAAAATTTGCTCTCATATTCCAATTTTTAAGCATCAAAAAGTCAGTTTGAACTCTCTGGATCCATGTAATTTCGAAACTTCAAACACGTATTTCTCGAAATAGCAAACACTGCACTTACGCGCCTCGTCCTCCAAGCTCCTCTCATATATCAGAGGCCTTAAATTCGTGCCTCGTTTAGTGGTCCTTTCTCCGCCTGGGAAAGGACGGCATGGAAATATGGAATGATACAAAAATGCCTTCATCCCAGGGCCGTTCTCAGCGCGGCGGCAAGGCGAAGGCTGAAAATATTGGCCGACCATAAAACTATGGCCCGGGCCGCCCTGGCCCGTCACCCGGGGATTTTTATCGATGCTCCCGGTGTTTGCTAACAGGTCGTGTGTTGAATAAAAATAATGCAAACAAAATCAAACGCAAACAAATACAAGGCCGGGCCGGGGAAGAAGGAAACTTGATATAGCTATTCTTCCTTCTTCTCCTCGGGAAATTGCCTCTCCAAACACCCACCTTTTATCGGCCGGCTCTGCGAGGCTTCCACAGGCCGACGCACAGTGTCATTGCGCCTTCGATTTTCTGGCGTGTTACTGTTTAAGCACGCAAGATCTCTTTTTGCCTGGCTGTCCGAATGAAGGCAAAATACATGGCTTGCCTCCGTATTAAAGTGGTAGAAAACTCTACCCTCATTAGTTAAGTTGAGGGGCTTGGAGGACAAGGCGCATAAGTGGAGTTTTTGACATTGAGATTTTCATGAACTCAACTAAATCTAGTTTGAAAGTATATTTTGTGAACAATTCACAACTTAAATCCAACTTTAGCATCAAAATATGAGTTTAAAGGTTATATAGGTATGAGAAACTAATAGTACATACGTTGTATCTGAATTGAGCCAAATTTTATAGTTCCTAATGGAAAAATGAAGTCTGATAATCCTCGGTGACCGATTGTATGTACATTGTACACGGTGAAACTTCATAATCGCGAATTCCGTTTGCGGCGTCTCAAAATTTCAGCTCTCATTTTACCTCATCAAAAGAAGAAGGAATCAACACTGTTCCTTGAAATTTTCAACCGTAGTCTTCACCTCACCCTGAGTAAAACAATTAAGGGATGACGTTTAATTATTGTATTTCTCAGACAATAAATTACGACAGAAAGAAGGTGAACACCGAAAAAAAGTGCTGCAACATCCTATATGTTAAAAAAATGTGCGACAACTCTTGCATGTTGTCATTACCAGTCTGGCTGTAGACTTAATATCCAAGGATGTTACTTTTACATCCTATCATGCTACGTTAACTGCCAGAGTGTTAAATCCAAGAGTTGTCGCACATTTTTTAACAACCGTAATATCCGGGCTGTTTATACAGCATCTTTTTTTTCGGTGATTACAACATTACCAACTTAAATACGCGTTTTTGCAGCTGTACCGTCGATACGCTCTTATTGTGCGAGGGTCAGTATCGGCTGAATTGTCTGATCCCCGCCCACCTGACTGGAAATATTTCTCCGCTCCTTCGCGTGTTATCCCGTGTCCCTGTGTTTTCTCCCATGAAATGCTGGTCCGCCATGTTAGTGAAGCTCATCAAAACTTATTACCCATCGCCCGGCTCTTTCCGTCGCTCCTCTGGCGTAAGGGCGTATCTCTATTTCTTCATTGAGCCCTGGAAAGCACGGCATTATATGGACGTATTCCTATCAAACGGAACTATGTGCATTAAGACATGAGCCCTGAGACCCATAAGAATACGTGCTTAACAGGGCTCACGTCATAATGCACATAGTTCCGTTTGATAGAAATGCGTCCATATAGACAAGAAAGCTCACGTAGAAATTGAGATACGCCCTTACGTCAGAGGAGCGGCGTTTTACGAGAGACATAAGCGAGCGTACAACGTCATTGTCAGTTGCGCGGCAAAACGGTCCACTCCCTCGATTTGTGAATAATAATGTCCCGCTGTTAAAAGTCCCTCGAATTTTTATGCCGGGGTATTTCATTTCTCCGGCCCTGGGAAGGGATATCCGATGTGAGAAAGATCGTGCGATCCTTTGGCAAAATGAGTAGAGGAGCACGGATAAGTAGCAACGAGATGTGTTCCGAAAGAACTTGATTCCATTTGATTTTAATCCAAAAGTTGAAGTATGTTAATATCATCTTGCTCAGTTCAGTTGACCTGGCGTAGTTGTCGCAACCTTTGCTTTCTGATCGGGAGGTTCTGGGCTCGCTTTCCGGCCAGGTGACCCGAGTTTCACGGTCTTAAAAAACTTTTACCTGGAACTGACTTGATCAGGAACTAAGAGGGTATGGGACTTAAGGAACTGCAAGCGTAGGATTACCAACTAAGGGGTAATGGAGATGTTGCAGATGGAGGAATTTGCGATTTGACTGTTGATTCTTACGTAAAAGTTCGCGAGAAACACGATGGTGCCACTAGTTTTCTCTGAAATCAACTCCCAAGCTCAAAAAAAGCTCTCAAGTTGAGGCCAAAATGAAGGGGATATCCGATATCCCACGCCATCCTGAGAGTCTACGTCTACATCAAGACAAAGTCTCCATGCAAAGATAGGGAGCAAATACATTGACAGGGCTGCCACCTTATTTGGGGACTCTAAAACTGAAATCACGGCAACCTTGTCAATGTATTTGCTCCCTATCTTTGCATGGGGAGTTTGTCTTGATGTAGAGGTGGACTCTCAGGATAGCCTGGGATATCCTCTCCATTTTGGTCTCAACCTAAGAGCTTTTTTTGAGCTTGGGAGTTGGTTTCAGCGAAAACCAGTGTCACCATCGTGTTTCTCGCGAACTTTTACATAAGAATCAACAGTCAAATTTCAAATTCCTCACACATGCAACATCTCCATTGAAGTGTGGGGGGAGGGGTATCAAGACCAGCAGGTCGATTCTTGAATCGTTATCGAATGATCCTGATTGATAAATCCCTATTTCAGAAATGCTTTTTATTAATCAATGTCTTTTGATATCGATTCAGCAATCAAGCTGCAGTTAACACAGGTACTTCATCCCCATGGACTACCATAAACGAGTTTTGAGACACTGCTCATTTTGAAAAAACTATTATGCATATCTTTCCTTGAAATTTTCAGTTATTTTAGATCGAAGTGTGAACAATATTAATTGTCTGAAAAATTGGAAGAAAAAATGCAGAATTTACCCTGCAAAATGTGTTTCACACTGGGAAAAAAAAAAAAAAAAAAAACACACACACAGATTGGATCTTGAGTCCTGACTCTTAAAAACATCGACAAGAAAAGATACTTTTGATTCAATCAGATTTCAGCTTAAATCAAGAACCAAGCTTCTTAATTTGAGCGGATTTCCTTTATATTTAAGCTTAAATCTGATTGAATCAAGAGTCCTTTTTCTTGTCAATGTTTTCAAGAGTCTGGACTCTAGATCCAAGGTGTTTTTTTGTGTTGGTGACCCTTCTCTTTGAACTCACTAACCTTGTTTTGTTTTGTGTCGACAGGCGTTCTGTTCCATCGAGCAATATTGATGAGCGGCTCGTCGCTGAGTCCGTGGGCCTTGGTTCGAGACCCCTCGCGGTGGTCGCGGGAGATCGCCGAGCAGGCCGGCTGCAATCCTCAACTGCCTCACACCCTCCTCCTCAAGTGTCTGCGGGACAAGCCTTTGGCCAACCTCACCGCAGCCCACTTGAAAGACGTGCCTCCCTTCACCGCCACGTTCGGTCCTAGCGTCGACGGTGTAATCATAGATACGGGACTTAATCAAATTAGTAAACAAGGTCAGTCACAAATTTCCCTTCATCCCACAATTTTCCTTGATCAAATCTACGTAAAATCTTGATGAGGAAACGTTCATTATAGGCCTAAAATTCTATTGTGATAGCGAAGGGAGCAGTTAGTGCAAAAATGAAGTTTTGAGAAAACGGGCTTGGAAGCTTCTGACCGGAAAACATTTATTGACAGAAGCCTCCGTTATTTGTGAAATTGCCACTAATCGTCCCAAAGACTCCTAAGAATCGTTTGTATGATAAATAAAATATTAATTTTATTTCAATTGCATAAAAAGGGTATTTTTCATTTTTATGCCAGGTTATTGTAAGGCAAGACAAACTGTAAGTGCTATCTTCTGCATGCTTCCGTGTTTGCGTTTTGGACACACAACAAACACATTTTCAGGTTAGAAATTCGCAGAAGAGGGCGGCACTTTACTTGAAAACACTGTTTTCATTGGCTCTCTGGAGGGATATTGTCACTTACTGCTGTCTTGCCGAAAATTACGTAATTTTTTGCGCACTTACGGCTTTCTCATATGTCTCGTATTGATACAATGAAGATGAATTTTGCTGTTTTAGCAATTTTAGTGATTTCATATAAAAGATTTTAGACGAATTTTGAAGGACACTCGATTTTGAAAATTTGACACTTACTGCTCTCTTCGCTATCACGGCAGAATTGGCGCCTTGTCTAGAGTACCTACAAGGGGGAGTATGTCGAGTATGTCGAAATATGTAGCTCTTACGACCAAAAAGAGCAGTCAAGTGTCTAACCCGAATAACACTTGAAAAATCTATCCGTTCGCCTTCAAAAATTCGACCAGGCAAACTATGTTACTCAGGAGTCACAATAGTTGCTAGAAAGTTTTTCCATTTTTTCCCTACTGTTGCTCGTAGCAGTGAGCCATAGATCCATCCTCCCAGAGGCAATATTCCGACGGTGATTTTTGGTTTTTCAGACTCGAGTCATCAGCAATTAGAATATAACCTGGGGAGCGGTCCGGGGCGGCCGGAGGAGGTGCGGCAGGAGAAGGAGGACGCGCTCATCGCCGGCGGCTACGCCCACGTCGTCCTCAACGACCCGATCATGCGCAAGAACATGATCTCCAAGCTCTCCAGGTACGACCTCCTCATCGGCGTCACCAGGGCCGAGGCCTTTTTCACCTTCAACGCCGACGACATCCAGTACGGCATCGAGGCCGACCGCAGGTCCAAAATCCTCACGAGCTTTGTCAAAAACACTTATAGGTAAGACATCCCATCACTATGCTAAAAAGTGCAACGTGCACTAAAAGAAGAGAGGCTTGGAGGACAAGGCGCATAAATGCAACTTTTGAAAAAATTGAGATATTAATGATTTCAAGTGAACCTTGTCTTAATGCATATCCCGTGAGAAATTCGCTCCCAAATTCCAATTTTTAAGCATCAAAAAGTCAGTTTGAACTTTCTGGATCCATGTAATTACGAAACTTCAAACACGTATTTCTCGAAATAGCAATAACTGCACTTATGCGCCTTGTCCTTCAGCCCCTCTTATATCAGAGGCCTTTAATTCGTACCTCGTTTAGTGGTCCATTCTTCGCCTGGGAAAGGACGGCATGGAAATATGGAATGATACAAAAATGCCTTCATCCCGAGCCCGGGGCCGTTTTCAGCGCGGTGGCAAGGCGAAGGCTGAAAATATTGACCGACCATAAAATTATGCTATCACTATGCTAAAAAGTGCAACGTGCACTAAAAAAAGAGTTCCGGACTGATGTTAAAATGATACAGTACCAGTTTTATCAAATTCGGGTTTTTCAGATTCTTATTTTTTACGTCTCGTTAATCTTTATTTTTATTTTACTAAAATTCTAAGTTAAAATAAACTAATATTTTTCAATATCATAATTACATATCGTCCGTTCCGGGGTCAGAGGCCAACAGCTCCGGATGCTGGAGCCGTAGCTCCAACTGCGCCGGCTGCTACGCCCGGAACTCGAACGGTATGTCTATATAGCCCGTAAGTACGGCAATCCTTCAATTGCTCAGATAATTTCATTCGCAATTAAATCCAAATTATCTGAAAATATCGAGGACATATATGCATAACTTCCTTCCAAAATGAACGGAGGAAATGTGAAATATGATCAGATGAATGTATATCGGTTAAAATTTGGCGACTTTTGAATGTTCATTCGGCGTTTTTCCTTAGCACGGCAGAATAAAGGTCAATGCTAGGTAAAAATGTCAAGATTTATAAACAACAGCCTAGGTAAACTTCCTGTCAAGGTGAAAAGCGAGAAAACGAAAATAAAGCTATGTTCAAAAGCAACAGAGCACCTCGTCCACGTCAATCTAGATCGCCCCGCCCGCCCTAACCGACCCTGTCTGCCGACGCATTAATATCGGTTTAAATGCATTCGTTTCATTTCGCATTCCTCTCATAGCCGGTTCCCGATGGACGGAAAAATCACTCTCCCTCTCCGCAGATTGCGAAATCGAGAGCGTGTTTACACGGGAACACAGCACTTCGCAGCGAGGAGTATTGGATCTCGCGTCGGGGGTGGGGAAATATTTTCATTTAGCGTGAGTGACGGACACGAAATCAATTTTCATTAGCTTCGGATGAGATGATATGCAAAGGCAATCTCTGAAAAACCGTCGCACCGTGGATCGAATCAATAGGAAAGGTCGGACAAAATTTGGAAACTTTATACGCTTATAACTCCGTTCATATAAAACTTTGAGGTTCTAAGGGTGGTTTTATTGATTTACTCGTGAAATTTTCTTCAAGAAACACCCCTAGAAGTTTGAAATGTGACGAAATGAACATGAAAATTTGCGGTTTCACTCAAAAATTATTTGTCCGACCTCTTTGATTGACTCAATCCTCTGTGCGTCGATGTTGGATTAATCGGGACCGGAGTGGATTCTATCGTAAAACGTCCGCCTGGCGTCGCCGTTGAGTCGTCCGATTCCATTCCATGCGTTCTTTGCGATATATCGATTTATCTGTCATTCAAACCGATTGAGAAGGATTGATAGATAGGGTGTTCACAATGAACATCTTAATAATCGATTCTTTTCAATAGTTTCAAATGGGGAAATATCGAGAATCGATCATTCACGCCTCACCACTGGTTCCATGACGCCCGCCTGCACATTGCATCGGTATTCGAATCGTGAAATTGGACAGCGTTGAGCAGAAAAAACGTATCTACAATTAAAGGAGAATTTTAATATGTATACGATGCCGCTCAATGATCCGAAGCTCGTTAATTCAAAAAGCTCGATGATTCGATGCAATTCTGATCATTTCGGAAACATCGCGTTATTTCGAAAAAAATCAATGTAATTCTCCTCTCCTCCTTTGGTGGCTTAAAATTTTTGGCAGCTGGACAGCGCGCTAATCACTTCTATAAAACTCTGCCATGCTGAGGAAATGTGTCGCACGGTGCGTTTTAAACAATTTTAATGCGGTCAACATACCACCCGCGATTTTTTTGCGGAAATGTCAACTAGAAGGCCTACTGATTGAGGAACAACAAACCGCGAAATCTGTGATGGGGCCGTTTTTGAGATAATGCGATTTTTCGCTTTTTTGGCGGAAATTTCGGGTCAAGGCGCTGAAAAAGTCAAGTTAGGCTGTTTTTGTAGTTCGTAAATGCATATCCTATACATTTTGAGTCAATCAAGTGCCAGTAGATAGCTATTCGTGCATATTGCCCAAAATTCATATCCTTAAATCCACGACTTTTGGGTTTTTGGGGGGTTAGTCAAGGAGAAATCCGAAAAAAAGAGGGTTAACCCGAAACAAATTGCTTAACAAACTTTTCCTACGTAAACTTCTTCAGTAGGTCCTATTGAACAACATACCAAAAGTTTGCCGCGGTTCGCTCCCGGAACACCCCCCCAAATTGCCTAAATTTCAAAATGGCAGTCATAATAAGGCCTCTGGGAGTTCGATTTTTTTTAAAAATACGCATACAGTGTCATGTGAGGTGTCAATTCCTCTGTAATTTAGGTCGTAGATTTCAAATATGAAGTAAAAAAAGTCCCTTGATCAAAAGGGGGTACCCCAAATCCAAGATGGCAGCCAATTTTGAAAGTCAAGAGGGTGGATTTTTAAAAAGTTCGCGTGATAAGGCAAGTGAGGTATCATTTCTTATGTAATTTTGGTCGTAGATTTCATTTATGAAGTCATAAAAGCCCTCAAGTCAAAGGGATTGCTCCAAATGCAAAGATGGCGGCCAGCTTTGAAAGGCAGGAGGGTGAATTTTTGAAATGTTTACGTGACATCCCTAGTAAAATAGAATCAACCTGACGTTTCATAAACTACCCTGAGTCAGACTAATTCAGGCTGATATCAATCTGACTCAGGGTAGTTTATGAAACATACCCTGACGTCAGGTTGATTCTATTTTACTAGGGATGTCACGTAAACATTTCAAAAATTCACCCTCCTGCCTTTCAAAGCTGGCCGCCATCTTTGCATTTGGAGCAATCCCTTTGACTTGAGGGCTTTTATGACTTCATAAATGAAATCTACGACCAAAATTACATAAGAAATGATACCTCACTTGCCTTATCACGCGAACTTTTTAAAAATCCACCCTCTTGACTTTCAAAATTGGCTGCCATCTTGGATTTGGGGTACCCCCTTTTGATCAAGGGACTTTTTTTACTTCATATTTGAAATCTACGACCTAAATTACAGAGGAATTGACACCTCACATGACACTGTATGCGTATTTTTAAAAAAAATCGAACTCCCAGAGGCCTTATTATGACTGCCATTTTGAAATTTAGGCAATTTGGGGGGGTGTTCCGGGAGCGAACCGCGGCAAACTTTTGGTATGTTGTTCAATAGGACCTACTGAAGAAGTTTACGTAGGAAAAGTTTGTTAAGCAATTTGTTTCGGGTTAACCCTCTTTTTTTCGGATTTCTCCTTGACTAACCCCCCAAAAACCCAAAAGTCGTGGATTTAAGGATATGAATTTTGGGCAATATGCACGAATAGCTATCTACTGGCACTTGATTGACTCAAAATGTATAGGATATGCATTTACGAACTACAAAAACAGCCTAACTTGACTTTTTCAGCGCCTTGACCCGAAATTTCCGCCAAAAAAGCGAAAAATCGCATTATCTCAAAAACGGCCCCATCACAGATTTCGCGGTTTGTTGTTCCTCAATCAGTAGGCCTTCTAGTTGACATTTCCGCAAAAAAATCGCGGGTGGTATGTTGACCGCATTAAAATTGTTTAAAACGCACCGTGGTCGTATATATGGGCCCTCATACGTTACCATATGTTTGTCTCAGTAAAACACGAATTTTATGGTAAGATTGTTGGCTATTTTTCTTCAAATTTTTCTGACAGTTCTAATCAAAATTTAATATGAAATATCTGAAAGTTTCAAGGAAAAAGATGCATAATTTTCCTCAAAAATACATATTTGTTTTATTGGGGGGTGGGGGGAAACTATCGAATGTTTATACGATACGAGTTCATACATTCATATTATGAAATAAATATCCCCATGAAATGAAAAGAACAATTGTTTCGATTGTTGGGCATGAAATTTAATTTTATGTACTAATCTTGTTTCCAGGTACCATTTATCTGAAATTTTAGCAACAATTGTAAACGAATACACGGATTGGGAGAGGCCGGTCCAGCATCCTGTAAATATTAGAGACGAAACTTTAGAAGCTTTATCGGACGCTCAAGTTGTGGCCCCAGTCGTGAATACGGCCGATCTTCACTCGATAGCGCGTCGAAACTCCTACCTCTACGTTTTCGACTATCAAACCAAGTACGGCGATTACCAACAGGTATGTCAATTATAATAACTCTAAAAATGTAGAATCAAGCACCAGAATTCGATTCAGGCCCGCCACATCCCATCTCGGGCCCTGGTATCAGTTATAAAGCCCGGGCCCCAAACACGGAGGGGGGGGGGGCGAGGGGCATCCCCCGAGAAATTTTAGAATTTATACGACTAATCGGACGCATTTTGAAGCTTCCATAAAGAATTTTTCCATCAATTTCTTCGGAATAATAATGGTTTTTTTTTTCTACTTTCAGCACAAAATACTTGCGAATTGTTGCATGGAGTTTGCATGCAATTTAAATGGAGATAGCCCCCATGCACGCTGGGCTTGTCGATTTCCTCTGAAATTTTTGCATTGGTGAATGCATTGCTGAAGTGCGCTCCAGCTAGAATTGTACTTACAAATGGGTGGTTTTTCTACGAGGATTAAAAATAAACAAATGGCACGGAATATAACAAAAGAATATGAACTATGCAAACCGATAATCTGGGTATCGAAACTAAGCTGTTTTGAAAACGCCTTCAAATGCGGAGTGATACCTCACGCATTCCGGAGAGTTCAAATAGTTGTATCATTGCGCCTTAGAAATGCGACGGAAAATTACAATTGAAATAGCCTTCATGCACGCTGGCCTTTTCGATTTCCGTTAACATTTTTGCTGTCATGAATGCGCTTAAGTGCGCTTCAGCTAGAATTGTATTTAGCAAATGGGTGGTTTTTATAGGAGGATTATAATTAAACAAGTGGTTAGAAATGGAAACAAAATAATATGAACTATGCAAAACGATTATTCCGATAACGGAATTTGGCTGTTATGAAAACGCCTTCAAATGCGGCGTGATACCTCACGCATTCCGGAGAGTTCAAATAGTTGTATCATTGCGCCGTATGAATGTGACGGAAGATTTAAATGGAAAAAGCCTTAGGGAGTTGAGCCATGAGCCATTGAAGTCGAGGATGCCCAGACTGGACACTCTTGGCATCTGACGACGGAAGAAAATGAAACGCAGTCACTAAAAATATCCCTCTGTACTGAAAATCTTGAAAATTGAAATTTTCCAAGAAGTATACTTCTTTGAAAATTTAAGAAGAATTCTACAGTTCCCCAGCGTGTTTCTGAAAATCTATTCACCTTTAGCGAAATTTTTGGGGTAAATTTTTCACTTTTTCTTGCGAAACAAGGGTTGCATGTGAATTCGTAGTGGTTTTCAACGGGTAACACGGGCCCCGGTACCAGGGCCCCAGTATCCCCCCCCCCCCTTGTGGCGGGCCTGATTCGATTCGGTGACCATTTGCTCGGAAAGGTTTCAAGTGTATATATTTATGTATAAACCGCTTTTATAGCGCTCTCTGGCGCTTTGCGACTCCTAGCCGCCAAAGTCCCTTATCCTCCCAAAGCCCTTCAGGGAGTTGGCAAACCCTTATTTCTTCTAAAACCCCCTGTCGCCACCCTTTCACTTTGCGTCCCCTTCGTCTCCTCCCAGGAGGAACCCAACTTCTTTGGCAGCCTGATTTCAAGTGTACCGTCGAAAAAAAGACATCATACAGAAATTTTAAAACACCGCATCCTAGTTTTTTTTAGTACCGCCGTGGATATTAAAATGCCACGAATCAAATCACCATCCCTTTGATACAGGGCATCTCCCCGGGAGGATCTGGATATCAAAGACGTCATAGTTATACCAGTGGCGTGGCGTGAGTAATCGATTATCGATATCTCGCCATTTGAAGCTATGGTAAAGAATCGATTACTAAGGTGTTCGCTGCGAATACCCTGATAATCGATCTTTTTCATAGGTTTAAATGGCACAACAATCGATACATCGCAATTCACGACACGCCACTGAGTTATACGAACGTCGAGCCCGGAACAAAGCGAGCGGAATAACTGGGATGGGAACTTCGCGGGGGGCTGCGGGCGGGGGAGGGGGGAGGGGGGTGAGCAAACAGCGTTAACATTCAAGGCGGGTCAATTTTCGCGGGAGCCCGGACCTCGGAGCCGAACTGAATAGAAAAACGGGAACGAAAACCGGGGCCCGGGAAAGCGGTAAATCGGAACACGCGAATAAAGAGTTCGTCGTTCGGAACTCGCGGAGGAATTTTGGCACGGGGCGAGAGTTAGCGGCAATTGATTGGCCCTGGAGACACGAACTCCCTCTGTTCCGAACTTCGGGTCGGGGAGGTAACTAAGACCGAAACACTGTTCCGATGATCGGATGGCTTTCTTTTCGTTTGCAGCATCGCGAAAGCGTTCTCTGAATAAGTATAGAACCCTAATAGACTGATTTAGTGGCTACGTCATTCGATATAATATCAGAGAAAACCAGTGGCATCATCGTGTTTCTTGCGAACTTTTACGTAAGGATCATCAGTCAAGTCGCAAATTCCTCACACATGCAACATCTCCATTGTGAGAAGCCGGCGCACAGTGGATCGAGTCAATTAGGGATGTCGGACATACAACTTTTTTAACCAACGTGCGTAAAAAATTCAGCTTAAAGCTGAAATCTCATTAGAGAGGGAAAAAGCTCACACACAAGCACAATTTTCCCTCAAAGAGATAATATGCTGTTTGGAGCAACACTAGTTACGTCCATTCAGGAAGGCAACTACAGACGCGTTTCGGCCTTGTTGGACCAATCCTCAGTGCAGTGCAGCCTCCTTAATTTTCTGCTACCAAGCTCGAGAGGAGAAAAATTGAGGGAAAATTTGAGGAATATTTCGGGATAATTTGATTTGAGGGAAAATTGTGCTTGTGTGTGAGCTTTTTCCCTCTCTAATGAGATTTCAGCTTTAAGCTGAATTTTTTACGCACGTTGGCTAAAAAAACTCCAACATCTCGTCTTTCGACCCGTGCGTTCACCGCAATTGGTTGGTTGGTATACAACTTTTGACTAAAATTGCAAATTTTGATGTTTTTTCGTCATATTTCAAATTTCGAGGGGTGTTTGGAGGAGGAAATTTCTCGAGGAAACCAACTTTACCAGTTTTAGAACCTCAAAGTTTCGTATGAACGGAGTTATAAGCGTTTTAAGTTTTCAAATTTTGTCCAACCTTTATCAGCTCGATCCACTGTGCGGCGTTGCCCTGCTGAGTTCGCGATTGCAAGTTACTTAATGTCGATGAGTGAGTGGTAACTATAATTTTATGTGTTACATTTTATTTTCATAGCCGTTATCGCTATCGCTGACTAATTCTCATTGTTTGATACTAAATTGTGCTTTTTCAGAGGCAAGGATGTATATTTGGGGAGGATCTACCGTATGTTTTTGGGGCACCTCTTGTCAGCGGAGGAGCCGGCCTAATCCATTTCCCGCGGAATTTCACCAAGGCAGAGGTGGCCCTAGCAGAGACAACCATGAACTATTGGAGCAATTTTATAAGGACGGGGTAAGTTCTATGTCTTGTCGCAGGTTTACCCAATAACAAGATTATTATCGCAGGTCGAGAACGAACGGCAGGGGCAGAATAGATAACTATTCGTGCTTTACGGTGCGCGTGTTGCATACGCTCAAATCAGAAGGCACTTTGAGACAAGACGCGTCACAAGAAGAGTCGTCCATGACTCTCCAACTGAAGGAATTGAGCGGTGTAAAATAATCGGTTTCCCATTTTTGGTGCACAGCGGTTTTTAATGCTAACAATTACTAATTGTTCAAGACATTGACGAAGAAATGACAAGACATTGAAGATTTTTATTGCAGGGCGAGAATTTACGGTAGGGGTAGAATAGATAACTATCCATGCTTCACGGTGCGCGTGTTGCATACACTCAAATCTGAAGGCACTTTAAAATGAAACTCGTTACGAGAAAAGCTTGGCTCGGATATGTATTATACTCAACACTTAATTTGCATTAACTTGATTAACCATTAATCCATTTAGAACGATCAGAAGGCAAGCGGTCGGTAAGATTTGATGGTGGATTTGCGCGTTATTTGAAGATGTCATTGAATATGAAAAACGATGACAGTTTCAAATCTCAAGAAAATGGGACACTATTTACACCTTTAATCAGAATTGCAGGTTGCAAAGCCCAAATATCGCACTCGATCATGAGCAACCAATTACATCTTACCCGCTTTCTGTCAACATGTGCGAATCGTTCGAGGTTACGAGGAATTTGAACTGCCCGCTCACAAGAAACTCAAAGCTCTGCGTGAGTCAAATCACGCACTACAACGGTTTCGGCAATCTTCTCAATCGAACAATGTTCATTTTCCACCATGTGTTGTTCTAACTATAAGCAACTTGCTATATCTGAGCCAAAGCGTCAAGATTGCGGGTGGTTTGGATTCACGCATCAAGAATCATTAAATATTTTCGTAAGGAGTTGATTTCGGTAATTTTCGTTGTGCGCATTGTGTTCTAAGTGAAAATTTGGTTAAGAAACATGTATCAGAATGCTGAGATTCGTACCTTGTCTAGTGGTCCATTCTTCTTGTGACCCGTCTTGTTTCAAAGTGCCTTCAAAGTTGAGTGTATGCCACACGCGCACTATAAAGCACGAATAGTTATCTACTCTGCCCCTGCCGTTAACTTCTTTGCTGTATGAAGAATTTAAACACCAGCTTGTTCCTCTTTTTCCTTTACTTCGCCCTTCACTCCATTTCATTCATATTCTCTGATATTTGAACTGCGTTCAATCTTTTTTTAAGTCCCATGACCTTATCGATCCTTATTTTCTCTTTATCGATCAATTTATGTATTCCCGTTCATTCGGTAAATTTTGAATTCTATCTTCACCCATGCTTTTATCATCCTATATGGTTTTATACTACACACCTAATCTCTGAAATCTCTTACTTTTATAATTTGTATGTTCTTATTTTATTGCAGGAATCCAAATGAAATGCAAGAGACTGATACATCTCGAGCAGAAAGAAATAGGTTTAAAAATATCGAGTGGACCGCCTATGAGGCTGTACACAAAAAATATTTAAGTTTAGGTATGTTTTCCATAATTTTTTCAGTTTATCGAGTCCTTATTGACGTAGTCCCTCAAATATTTTCTCTCAAAAATCAACCTTTAATTGTGTTACGCCTTCTGAAAAGCTTTGATAATATTACATTATTTTGATTTTTCCACAATCTCTCCATACAAAATAGCTTCTAATAATGGCGAGGGTGTCTAGCATCAGGATATTCCCAATTTTCTCGATTCTATCAGGATTTTAGGTCTATCAAGATTCAATCCCGATTTTCCCGATTCTATCAGGATTCAATCCCGATTTCATGAAGCTTCGAGGAAAAATCGGTCGTAAAATCAGAATTTGAGAAAAGTCGGCCATCCGATCGAATTTTTTTATCGATGTATTTTTGTGAAGTTACATTCGCCTCCGCAAAATATCAGGATCTCGAAAAATTATGAAATCAGGATTTAGCAGTCAAAAATCAAGTTTTACCAAAATGAAAAAAATAAAGACGTCCTGATGAAAGGATTGTGCCGAATTTGCAAAAATTTACGAAACTCTTGATCCAAAACTTACCAATGTATTCATTAGTGTCCAGGAGACTTCAAACCTTTATATTTAAAAACCTAGCCGTATACTAACTGATGGATCTGAAAAATTCGGCGCTTTATTTTTTCTTTCTTTCTTTCTAATCACAAGTAAATTGATTGAGACCTTACTGGTGTATGATTTTTAAGATCTACTATTCTCTTTTTTTCAGACACGAAACCTAAATTAAAGAATCACTTCAGGGCTCACAGGTTATCATTTTGGCTCAATCTCATTCCAGACCTGCATAAACCCGGATCAGACGATGTGCCTCGATCTCATCATCAGTTAGATGCTGACAAAGGGGTGAGTAAAGTTCTTCCAGGACAAAGGTGGTCAACCGTCGTGTCGGTGATGGAAAAAGGTGTAACTACTCTCGCGCTAGAGTGTAATATGATCAACGCTTTGCATCAATGGCGTGGCGTGAATTGTAATGTATTGATTGTTCTGTCATTTAAACATATGGTAAAGAATCGATCAATAAGGTGTTCGCTGCGAACACCCTGTATATCGATCCTTCTCCATAGGTTTAAATGGCATAACAATCGATATATCGCAAAGCACGCCTCGCCACTGTTTGCATCAACGGCAATCGTGATCTTCTGCTATCTACTCGGAGCGATACTGTAGAAGGCGCTCTGAGCAACTATTCCACCTCGTAGGTGTTGCACAGTATCAGACGAAAATGAAGGCGCGCTAACGTTTGTAAATTGACCCGTATCGCTTACCACTGTGTAGAGTCCTTCGGGTCCTACGATACACGGCACCTGTTCGATCGATTTTTGTAAAACTAGATATCAGGGGGTACTTTTCGGCGGGAACCTTGAATTTCAGCTCCAATTTTCAAAATTCAGAAATCCGAGATGGATATGACCTAAAATGCTATCTCGGCTCCTGGTCAATCGATTTTGGTAAAACTCGGCGTCAGGAGATATTTTATGACGTGGAATTCGAATTTTAAGTAAAATTTTCCAAGTGCAAAATCCCAGATAGCGGACGTGGCCTAAAATGCTTCACTGGCTATTCCAAAAGTATCTATCCTTGTAATGAAAATATACACGGAACAAAATAGATTACTGATTTAACAATTAAACTGTTAAAAAATATGTCAGACATGTTTCAAATAGACGATTTCTGTCAAACGGAACTAAGCGCCAATTTGAGTTCCTTTTGAGGAATTTAGAATTCCGGATAGCGCGTTCTGTCAAACGGACCTAAGCGCCATGGAAAAGCATTGCGAGTATAGGACGGAATGAGCCCGACGCCCGGTTTCGCCGCCAATCCAAGCCCCCCTCTACCTTCCTCACCCTATGGCGCTTAGTTCCGTTTGATAGAAATACGTCCAAAAGTACATTTTGCAATAGTAGAAAGCTAATTTTACCACGGGGGTAGAAATAGCATTTTTGTATTGTAAAATCTACACTGAAACAGATCTGGCCCCTTTTTTAAACTACAAAATTGCTACATTAGCAATATCATTTTTTCCCGTGTATCCGTTCATTTTCAAAATCAATACACCCTCAGCAAATATAGACCTTGATAAGGGCACGCTCTTTAACATTGATGTATCAACAGTATGTTTAATTTTACAGCTAGATATCTCATACGTGAACTCCTCTGGTTTTCAGATCTCGACGACAGCGCCCTCGACGCCCCGCTCGAGCTGGAACGACACCCTCCTGGCGAACAAGAGCGGGGTCCTGGGCACCCTGTACAACAACTCCCTGAGCCTGGGCTCGAACGCCCACCCGATCGTCGTGGTGGCGCCCTCCTCGTCGGAAAGGGGCGCCTCGGACGGGCGCGGGAGCCTGGAGCTCGGTTCCTCGGCGGCCCCGCAGGAGGACGGCCTGGCCGCCTACTCGGCCGCCCTCAACATCACCATCGTCATCGGCTGCTCCCTCCTCATCCTCAACGTCCTCATCTTCGCCGTGGTGTACTACCAGAAGGACAAGACGAGGCATCATCACCACCACCACCATAACGGCCACCACGAGCCCGGCATGTGCAATAACGATAGCAATTCCAGCTTCAACTCCTCCACGCCCAATAACAGCTACTCGGCCACCATCAAGAAGCGACAAGAGAATGGTGGGCCCATCACGAATCTCTGCTCCGCGGGAGGTAAGACCTCAAGTGAATTTTATTTACACTGGAAAAAAAAAAATACATTGGATCTAGAGTCCAGACTCTTGAAAACATTGACAAGAAAAAATACTCCTGAGTCCATCAGATTTTTGCTTTAATCGAAAGGAAATTCGCTCGAATTAAAGGGCTTGGTTCTTGATATAAGCAAAAATCCGATTGAATCAAGAGTAATTTATCTTGTTGATGTTTTTAAGAGTCTGGACTCTAAATCCAATATGTTTTTTCTCCAGTGTACGTGTTGGGGATAGCTTTCATGTAGGGCGTACCATTTTTAAATTTTGATAGCGTCAGATTATACGAGCACGGCGTTGTGGTTTGATTGATTGTCATTGGTGGATCCATGAGCAAATTGGCAACACTGTCTTCTCTCCATTTAAACTTATGGAAATATATCGATTCTTGAAGGGGTCCAAGAATCGACGCCCCCACAAGAATCGATTATTCAGCATATAGCTTTAAATGAAAAAAATCCAGTGTTGCCAAATTGCTGGATCCGCCTCTGTTCATTGTTGGAATTAATCGAAGCTTACCTTAATTATTTTCCATGTAGGTATACTGAATTTCTAGTTCTATTTCTGTACGTGACGTCAGTGTGAGGGTGTCGAATCAGCAGTACAAAATTTAATCAAAATCAAATTGTTAATTCTTGAAATAAATAAGCATTCTGCTTGTTACAATCCCTCACTGGAAAAAAAAGAATCTTAAATTTGCCGCCAAGAAGTATTCCTTCTTAAATCAAGAATTTTGCTGGTTAATATAAGCTACCTTTTTGCTTAAACCAAGCATTATTTTTCTTGAATCAAGAAAAAGTCAGCTTAAAGCAAGATAAAGAAAATTCTTGGCGGCAAATTCAAGAATTATCATGCTTGATCAAAGCTACTTTTTTTCAGTGCTTACAATTTTATTTTCAATTCCTTACAATTCCATACAAACTCATACAATTCTTTCCAAAAAGACACCGCAAACGAGATATGTGATTGCGAACTTACGCCGTCTATATGTACATGCCTTGCCAATGAATTGTTCTCTTTCTAAGAATCCCTCTGCAGGGGCGGACTCGCAATCGAAAAGTTAGGAGGTGGCCTAGATTTGGTGGCCTCTCCTGTCGTTCGGGGGCCCCTCCCTGGAGGGTTTTGGGGCCTCCCCCGGAAAAATTTGAAAATTTCACTCATAATAAACGCAATTTTAAGTATTTTTGGAGTCAAATTCAAGAGTATTTGGACTTCAAAATAATCTATTCTCAGGATTCATCGGGGGCCCTTTCATCACCTCCGAGGCCCCAGGAGCCCACTAGATTTCCTCGTATATTCTGTATTATAAGCTTTAGGCGACCTTTTATGTCTCTTAAAGACAAATTTTCAAGGATTTTGGGGCCTTTTAGTGACTGAAAAGGATTGGAAAAGTGGAACATTACGGGGGAAAAAACGTCTATGACTCGAAAAGAATCGCCGCGGGGGCCCCTTCAGGACCTCCGCGGCAAATTGTTAGGAGGCGATCGCCTCCCCGCCCCCATGGCCCCCTCTGTTTCCACGGGTTATGGGCCCAGTGTATTCTTATAGCTTTTCGACGGGCATGTTTCAGGGGCAACGGAGCTGCTGCAGATAATCGACAACCGAAGCAATATCCAAGTGCCCTCGATCCTGAAGAAGCCGTCGCCGTCGCAGCTCCTGGTGCTGGAGCCGCCGTACAGCCAGCACACGCTGCCGTACCGCCACCACGGGGCCCACGCCAAGCAGATGGCCGAGTTCTCCTGCTCCACGCTCCCGCGGGCCCCGCTCCCCGCCAAAGTGCCCAAAGTGCCCGACCCGAACCCCGGAGGCGGCGGCTGCGGCCCGCCCGCCGAGTCCCAGCCGCTCCTCGTAGATAGGTCCAAACACTCCAACAAAATCGACGAGCTCCGCGTGTGACACGCCCCCGAGCCGCGCCCCCCCTGTACAAACGCCCCTGTTGAGAATGAACAGTTATTCTTTTTGTAGAAAAACCGAGCGAAAATTTTACCCCCCACAAAAAAAAGATTGTGATCGACGAGCTCCGCGTGTGACACACCCCCGAGCCGGGCCCCCCCTGTACAAACGCCCCTGTTGAGAATGAACAGTTATTCTTTTTGTAGAAAAACGAGCGAAAATTTTACCCCCCACAAAAAAAAAAGATTGTTTATATCATGTGAATTTTAGGTATTTTTAAGTTTGTAAATAAAACACGAGACGATTTTAACCCTTTGTTTTTTTCTTTTCGTTCCTCTGAAGATTATCCTCGGGGTTGGGTAGAGTCCCTTTATACCCAGAGTCAAAACAACTCACTTTTGGCTACCTTTTGGTCGGGCTGAAAGTGGCCCAAAACAAAATCCAATTCTGATTGGTTCTCGCTCATGGAGGCCGAAACGAGTGCACCAACATGGCGGTACCTCGATTGGAAACAAGAATAATGAAAATATTGCCTAATTGTGGTTTATCAAGAGTAAATTGTTGTTTCCATCGGTCCAAAATGAAAATAGGTTAAGAAATTATTCACAACATTTTCTTTTTAATTGATCAATTTGTTGATGTTGTTGTTTTTGTGTGACAGACATCGCAGGATTTCTGATCCTTATCCCTCAATATCGTTCGTTTGGGTGCACTCGTTTCGGCCTTCATGGCCAGCCAAGGCCGGCTGCCATGCCAGTCAGCTGATAATAGAGTTGTCTTAACTCTGGGTATAAAGGGACTCTAGGGGTTGGGGGGAATAAAAGAGGGAGCTTTTTTTTGCAACCGATAAGGCAATTCTATGTGATCTAGGACGAGATTCGCCTCTTCGTTGCGTTGCTGTACGGTTTGTGTCTTAGAGAAGCAATAATGGAGATGTTGCATGTGTGAGGGATTTGCGATTTGACCATTGATTCTTATGTAAAATTTTGCGAGAAACACGATGGTGCCACTGGTTTTCTCTGAAATCAACTCCCAAGCTCAAAAAAAGCTCTCAAGTTGAGGCCAAAATGGAGGGGATATCCCATCCCACCCTTTCCTGAGAGTCCACCTCTACATCAAGACAATAACTCTCCATCCAAAGATAGGGAACAAATACATTAGCAGGGCTGCCACTTTATTTGGGGACTCTAAAACTGAAAACACGGCAACCCTGCTGATGTATATGCTCCCTATCTTTGCATGGAGAGCTTGTCTTGATGTAGATGTGGAAGCTCAGGATAGTGTGGGATATCCCCTCCATTTTGGCCGCAACTTGAGAGCTTTTTTTGAGCTTGAGAGTTGATTTCAGAGAAAACCAGTGACACCATTGTGTTTCTCGCGAACTTTTACATGAGAATCAATAGTCAAATTGCAAATTCCTCACACTGCAACACCTCCACTAACTATTGTTACGTACAAGATAAAGCAAGAAACTGATCCATAACGTATAGCAGCATTAATACTGTGTGCCACTACTGCAGTTTTGACCGTTAAGGCCGTAGTTTAAGAGCGCAAAAGCCAGGACTGTATTTCGCAAACAGATAATTTTTGCAGAATAATTAAAGATAATGAGCAGGAGTAATTGAACTAAATAACAAAAGAAACTCAAATGAACAGTATATTGCAGAACAATTAGGAATATCTCGTCATGTAAATACAGAAAATTCGAAAACGCCTTCAATTGAGGCATGATACCTCACGCGTTCCGGAGAGTTCAAATAGTTGTACCCCTGCGCCTCTGCAAGGCGAGAGAAGCTTAACATTGAAGTAGCGCCCCCGCTTGGTTTCTCGGTCTCCCAGTGCCGCTACTGCAGTTTCCACCGTCAAGGCCGTAGTTTAAGGGCTCGAAAGCCAGGATTGTATTTCGCAAAAAGATAACTGTTTCAGAATAATTAAAAATTAAGAAGCAGGAATAATTTAACTAATTAGTAAAAGGAACTCAAATCGACAATATAATGCAAACAAATTTGGAAAGTCTCGTCATGTAAAAACAGAAGATTCGAAAACGCCTTCAATTGAAGCGTGATACCTCACGCGTTCCGGAGAGTTCAAATAGTTGTATACCTGTGCCTTAGCAAGGCGATGGAAGTTTAATATTAAAGTAGCGTTCCCGCGTTGTTTTTCGGTTTTCCTGTGCCGCTACTGCAGTTTCGACCGTTAAGGCCCGAGTTTAAGGGCGCTAAAGCCACGATTGTATTTCGCAAAAGATAACTGTTGCAGAATTCAAAAATTTCTGGGAACAAGTTATTGGTAGGTTATAACAAGTTCCTGGAACAAGTTCGTCCGAAGACCCTCGAGCCGCGCTCGTGTCAACATGGCCTCAGCTTAAGAATCATCACTAATCATTCGCATCCAGAAGGGGGAAAAAAGTGGAAAATCTAGAGAGGAAAATGAGCCTTGACTCCTGATAAGACATGAGTTTTAACATAGAGATTATTTTATCGTCATTGGACAACAGGGGAATTTTGGCACATCCATGCTCCGGCTTTCAAATTTTTAGGGATTAAGGCCGAGTGGAATCTGTTCCTGCAGATCCACTCGTCAGTTCCGTGAACAGTCGCCAACATCGGGACTCGAACGCTGGGCCTATTGGTCTAGTGTCAGATGCGCTGACCGCTCGACCAACCTGGCTGGCAAAACCAACTTGAAACAAACTATTCATACTCAGAAGGGTCTTCAAGTGTAAATATCTAAGACTATGGATTACTCGAGCGTGAAATAGTCAGAACCAGGAGGGCTTATTTGCATGGCAAAGTTGCAAAGTTCCAACCGGAATTCGATTTTATTCATAAACGAATGCCAGTTTTGTGTTGAGAAGTTTAAGAAATTTCCGTCAAATTCAGATGAAGTTTATTGTAAAAATTATTAAATGTTTTCAACTGCTAGCGAGGCAGAAGGAAAGTTGCCAAATGCAATTTTTCAATGCCAGGAAACTCCTTCTGATTCTGACTCATTCGAATTTTGTTCGAAATTTGGATCCCAACGGGTAACCAAGAGTAGGGTCGACCTTGGAGCAGCCAAAGTTTCCTGTAGAACTGCAGAAAACTTTCACCAGTTCAAAAATCATGGTTCGAATCTAAACGTGCTCTGCCACTGATTGCTGCACTTAAAAATATTAAATTGCCAACACAACATAAAGTAGGTAATTAGTCGAAATAAGAATGGAATGAAAGTTCGTATTCATCTCCTAAGTAATGCTAATTTACAAAAGATGAGTGCAGAATTAGAAGTAGAATATTATACCCAAGCTACTCGCAACTCTTAATGGGAGTAAATCAAGAATAAAATTGATCAAGATGCAAGATAAAAAGTATAATTTAGTTTTCTCGAAAATTTCCTCTTGGCCCAGATTAAAAAAAAAAAAAAAATCTGACCGTAATCGAGAAAAATCGACAGGGCTTTACGTAGGTGGATGATTATGTTATTGTTAATTTATTGACAAAGTTGCATGATCATTTAGAACAGTTTTCCTTCAATCGATCGAATAGGCAAAATGACTGACCTGGGAGCAGTAATAAATGATTTGGCGGAAGGCGTATATTTCACACGTCGACGGTGAAACTACCAAACCACGTATCTCGGTTTGCGACGTCGCAGACTTCCTGTCATACTTTATTTTTTAAATGAAAAACTATTTAACGTCCAGTCTTGAAAATTTCTGTGATTTTTCCTCTTCGCGCGGAGAAAATTCTGTGAAAATTTCAAGGAATGATATTGATTTGGTCTACTTCAAAAAAATAAAATGTGAGCGTAGATTTTTAAACACCGCAAACGAGATACGTGGTTTGGTAGTTTCACCGTCGACGTGTATTCTACAGTGCTAAGGTAAAACGCCGTATGAACACTCGAGAGCTGCCGAATTTCCCCAAGATGTATCATGTATTTTTGACGAAATTTATGCATATTTTTCCTTGAAATTTTCAGATATTTTAGAATTAAATTGCGTAAAAAAATGTGTAAAAATTTTAAACCCTCTTCCTAAAAATATTCAGACTTTTCACAGTGCTTTTGATTTCTATGAAGGACTAGTAGCAACTTCTGAAGACTCATGCGGCGTTTTTCCTTAGCACGGCAGTATCAGAAGTGATTAGGTACTTCGTAAGTTTTAACTCTAAATGTTCAGCACTTCTCGAAAAGTGAAAATGAGTACCTATTTGACACATCCACTTCACTTTTTTTCACTTTTTAGACTTTTCACACTGATGTTTAAAATTGGTCAAGAATTCTAAACACAGTTTTCCATTTTCCTTTTTCTCCAAGTGCTACGCGGGTACCGCTTAACCATTGTTTTTGGGGACACTGTAGGTATGGCCAGGGGCGGACTGGCCATGGGGGTGGGGAGGCGATCGCCTCCCAACAATTTGCCGATTTTTTTCGAGTCATCGTTTTTTTCCCCCGTAATGTTGTAATTTTCCTATCCTTTTCAGTCACTAAAAGGCCCTAAAATCCTTAAAAAATTTGTCTCTAAGAGACATTGAAAGGTCGCCTAGAGCTAAGTGATGAAGGGGCTCCCGCAGGGTCCTGAGAATGGGTTATTTTGAAGTTCAAGAACTGTAGAATTTAATTCCAATAGGTAATGCTTAAACTTGGGTTTAAAAAGTGTGAAATTTTCAAAATTTTCCGGGGGATGGCCCCGGATCTTTTTAGAGGGGCCCTCACATTTAGTTCGCCTCGTAACTTTTCGACTACCAGTCCGTCCCTGTGTATGGCGACAAAAGCTGAGACGTGGAATGTAAATGAGACTTGCGGATACATTTGTTGAGCTGGCGCAGAAATCAATGTAGGTATCGTTTGATTACCTATACTAGGATCCAAATCTAGGATCTAGGCATCCTTACTAGGAATCTACAATGCCGATTATCAACTTCATTTTTCTAGCCGTGACTTCTAGGAGGAAAAAGTTTGCGGTTTGGACGTTTGCGGTCTAGACAAAATCCGCATGGTATCGAGAGACACCGGAGCGGCAAGAGACAAGGGAGAGTGATCAAATTTGGTAAAAAGGAATCTCGTTGAGAGGTCATTACGTTATTCATGTATTCTCATCGCCGTCCTTCAAGGCTACTGAATCGCCGTATCGTAGACGCGCGCTAGTCGGCGAGTCTATGCGCGACTTTAATCAAAACGGGCCAAAGGTCGACAGCGTTGAGAATATCGCTCAGCATTTTAGCCGTCACAGCTTCAGTCATACTCCGCCTGGCTCTCCGATAATGAGTCGGTTTGTAAACAGATAGGCGCCCAGTGCAAAACCGGCTCGATTTCACGTTTTATCTCCGGTTGAAATTCCGAGGGGCAGCAGGAAGGTTGGTTTCCTGATGAGTAAGGTGCATCTGGCGATTCTAGAAAGGTCGCGTGCGCTACGGTTTTGAGGATTGGAATTACACTCTGTTGAGTGATTTAATTGAATTTCTAGTGTTAAAATTCTTAAAATTCAACGAGTTTTATCCGTGGTTAGTAGGTGACGGACTAGTTCGGATGGTCTAAAGCTTTCTCACTCAACTGGCCGAGAAGGTAAGTAAGTGAGAGTGTATATATTTTGGAATTTGAATATCGTGCATTAATGCCTAGTGCATTAATAAGTAGAGTACCTATGCACATAGATAATACCTCGTACTTTTTGAGAACATTTACCAACGTGAGATGACACTATGATAAGAGGGACATACCTATGGTAATTATTAAAGCCCCTGTCACTCACAATTCACAGGTTAAATACCAAAACCCTACTTGGTTTCGGGTGTTTGATTGGTCAGTATGCTATGCTCACTGTTTTTTTAACATCTTTGCTTCAATAATAGATAGGTACCTTGCGAGTAGGTATGTAGGTAGGTAGGTAAGTGCACTTTCAGTGGTAGTAGGTATGTGCGAACTTATAATTTACTAGGGGGCTACGCCTCCTGGCCGCTAAGCGGGCCAATCCCCTGAAGGCGCTCCGCGCCATCAATGGGCTGCTTCGCGGCCCTATTTTTACCCTCCTATCAATGATGATTTTATTTTTCCCCTAAAAAATTACGATATGAGGTATACTTTACTATTAGAATAAAAATATTCTTGTTTTTGATAAATGGAGACAATTTTTTTTCTTGAAGTCAATTAAAAGGACGCGTTTTACAATAACTGACTAATGAAACATTGCAGTAAAACAACGAATAATGATAATCAGGTCATAACTAAGTAGCTGAGGAGTCAGGAATCGAACCCTTATCTTGAAACATGTAGGTGCTTTTGACGTCTTAGACGACACGACCACCGCTCAACTTGACTTGTCCATGTCTCGTGTTGATAAAAAGAGCTGACGCGCAGGCTATACGCCAAGGCCTAATTAAGGGGGTGGCCTGGCCACATGGGCCGCGGTCCATGGCGGCAAATCTAGGGGGCGGCAAATTTTGCAATTTTTTTAAATGTAGGTATAAAAAAATCGGATTTAGAAAAAAAAATTACAAACGAGAAAAGGCTACAAAATCTCTCATTTCCTGAGAGTATAGTAATTCCTAATTTTGTCGTCTTTTAGTGATACAAGAGGCAGCACCTTTAATTGGTCGAGTTAAGAGAGAAACCAACACACAATTTGGCCTCGAACTTAGGGAGAAATGATGACGAGGACTTGAGATGAAAAGGAGAAGCCCTCGGCGCGGCAATCGGCATGTAACACATATTAGCGCCTACAAGACTGCACGAATACTTCACGCATTGTATCAAACACAGTGCGGTTATTGTGGTCAGCAGCGTGAAACGAATAGCGCCTACAAGAATGCATTAATACTTCACGCATTGCGCCAAACACAGTGCGGTCAGCGTGAAACGCATAGCGCCTACAAGACTGCGTGAATACTTCACGCATTGCGCCAAACACGGTGCGGTCGGCGCGGCGGAAGTTAAAATCATTAAACCAAATTTTGTGTTTGTTCTTTCATGATTTTTTCGTTCATTTCTTATGAAAGGAAGGCCATGTCCATTAGAGATAGGTTTACGAAACTTGACTTTCGCGCAAAGTTCCGTGACCTTTTCCTAGAAGTGTTGACAGGGCTTTCCCAAAAAATGTGTTCAACACGAGTAAACGCGTCTTATGCACCCCTCCCCCGCTGGCACGTTCACTTGATGGTTTTTATTGATGTTTCAAAACGAATGAGAAGGGGGCGGCAAAATACAGGCGGCCCATGGGCGGCAAGTAGGAAAATCCGGCCCTGCTATACGCTATAGGTACTCAACCACTGCGCAACCTTCTGCGCATAGCGGCAGCAGGTTGCGGAGCATTCTGTACATTCGCTCACTTTTACAACTTGATTGTAGAAAAAAAAAAAAAAAAAAACGTGGGTCCAATTTCCAAGATCTGATCAGAGCGGGCTCATCTACGACCTATCACCTGTCGACAACTGCAAAAATCATGGAAATTGGCCCAGTAGGACGCTCAAACGAACTATGACAAACTACCTACATAAGTTTACATTGTTTAAATGAAAAAATTCACAACTTTACCACGTAATATAAAAAAAACTTGGATCATATTTTGAAAATCTGAATAGAGTGGGCTCATCTAGAGACAAATGCTCGTCGATAGTCGCAAAAATCATGAAAATCGGCCCGGAAGAATGCTGGAACGAAGCGTTACCAGTTAAGTACGCAAAATTAGGAGGTCTCGGAGCTTATAATAGGTATAGAAGAAGAGACGGGGAAAAGTTAAGAATAAAAAATAGAAGAAACAGGAAATAATACCTTTTACCTCATTTTTACTACCTGCACTGCGGCGTTGCACAATCTCCGATAATCATTATTATCTTTAAAATAAGTTTTGAAAGTAAGTACTTACCTTTTACAAATTTCCTGTATTCAAGAGTCTTGATTGGTGAATACTTAAAAGAAAAAATTCGCAGAATTTTTTAAGAAAACACTTGGTTAATTTTTTTTGGTTTTTTTGTAAAAATAGAATATAAATAAATAAAAATAGAATAATTCTACGATGATAATTTGCAGAATTGCAATTAAACTACATTTATTTATTGGGAGCTACTATTTTTGACTCATTTTAGAAATAGCACATGTCCCATTAGTTGTTTTTTGGGAACGGGCGATTTATGGATGAACAAAAAAAAGGTTCTTATTGTGATTGGTAATGTTCATTTTTCAACTAACCAAAGCCATGTTAAGGTCCAATAAAATCGAAAAATGTATTTTAAGAAAGTAAGAAAAAAAAACTTTTCAATGGTTCTTCATTAAACGAAGTTCTATATTTAATTTTTCTAAAACATTTTCAATATTATGCATTTTAAAAACACTTCAATGTTTTTTCTTTTAGACATTTTCAATATTTTTATTAAAAATTAGGTATTGCTCCACTTTTTAAAAAATGTCAATAAAAATGTTCAATGTTCTTTAAAAAAAAATCCTTAAACACATTCATGCACGGAGTATTTTCTTTTAAATGATCATATTCTCTTTAATGATCATACATTCTGCATATAGTTTATGGTGCTCTTTGTAAAAAAAAAAAAAAGCTCCAGCAGTATTGTTCCAATTTTACTTTTAAAACAGAGTCGATACAATATTTTCCTGCTGCGATGTTGCTTGATAGTAATGTTAGGTAACTATACATTTATATTCCTTTCTTATTTTTTATTTTTCTTGTTAATGTTGCACTCATGCAAATAAACATAGGTAATAAAAATTAACATTCAGGCTACAAAAACAGCACCGAAGCTGTTTTTACTTATTTTGACTTTCCATAGTGTACCTATTTGGCGATACACGACCTGCAGCATTATTGCTTTCTGTCTTATGGGTGGTGTTGTTTCAACATTGCTGCAAAAAATCTTTTCAATATTGATAGACCTTTGAGGATATTGCAGAAATTTTCAAACAACCTAGGTGTTCCAAGTGGGTTAATCATTGATACCCATACAATTAATTTCGAGATGATAATAAATCCTTACTTAGTGTAAAATTTCCTCCAAGAAAAAAAGAAGAAGTAATTGAGTGATAAAAATTATTGTTGCAGCAGTTCTAAAAATGCATATTCTGAGGGCTCTTTTTTTGGTAATGGTTACGGTAAGCCTTCGTGATCAATATGTCTCTGCATCTGCCTACAATGAGTCTGCGATTTGGAATACATTCCTGCAGTATGCATCAGTTGTCAAGGAGCTACCATCAACAGTACAAACATGGAAATTACCGCAAGAATCAAATTGGTCTCACTCATCTGCTAGATTATCAAGAACATCAACGGTACGAAATGACAACCTTGAAATGAAACAGACAGCAACGAGCCAGCAACAGCCCTACGATCCTGACACCCATACAAAAGGAACACCATCTACCTACCATCCTTACATTACGATAACAATACCACAGATAACTACATCGACATCGAAACCAACAACAGCTCTGACAACGACATCGAAACCAACAACAACTCCGACAATGACAACGGAACCAGAAACTCCTACACCACCATCAACACCACCGACAAGAACAACAGCACCATGGACAACAACATCATGGACAACACCACGGACAACAACACGGACAACAATACCACCATCACCACCAACAACCCCAACAACATCGCCACCAACAACCCCAACAACATCGCCACCAACAACCCCAACCCCAACTCCTTTCACAACACCAGCTCCACAACCTTTTACTTTGCCACCTTATCAAAACACAGCAAAAATGGCCCGTTTTGTAGTTCATTTCTCAAGTAAGTCATTATTTATCAAAGGTACTTCTTACTAAGAGAGGCTTTGCTTTTGTAGTTTACTTGTAATGGGAACTTTAAAGAAAAAGCAATGACTCACCACCTACGTATATCACTGAATATTCATTAAAAACAAGAGTCTTCACCGACTGAATGTTGTGACTTTTAGAGTGAGCAATTTGTCATCTTCATTTTTTTGGAACACTAGGTATAAATGAACTGTTAGCATCATTTAGATAAATGAGAAATATTCCTCAATTGTGGAACTGAGTGAGAAGTGTCCTTCTCGGTTGAAGTGTTCCTGAATCTCTATTGCTAAATTATGTCATTGAGAGGAATCTAAAATGTATTTTTTCTGAAATTTTTTCTACAGACAGAAGCATGAAGAATATTCAGTAAAAATTTCAATTAAATGCTTTAATTTACTTTGCAATAAATGAAATATTTGTAGAGATTCTGAAACACTGCGACTGAAAGTTACCTTCCTTGCACCCAACGCTTTAATTTCACTAGAATTTACTTACATGCTCATTTTAGGAATAAATTTCAATACTTGGAAAAGGGGGAAATGGCCAACGGTAAATATTGTTGAAAGGAGGGATAAAAAAATTAAGTAGCCAAAACTAGATACACAGATTTGAGGTATTAAATGAAGAGATGTTCAACTCTAGTTAAGTTAGTTCTAATAAAGGTTGCTTTAATGGGCTATACTTTACCCTGAGGACAAATGTCATTCTGAGGGACAATGGTTATCACTGATCTGATTTTATCTATTCTTGTTCGAGGTGAAAACAATTGTTTACAGAGTTTAGACGAGCGTTAGAAGACTTTCTGTTCATAATGCAACTCTGAATCGGTAGATCACTTTTAATATCAAATTAAAGTCAAATATATGGTGCAGGAGAAACATAGTCCTAAATACATTTCGTTATGTTCTCAATTTACTTAGAAGAATTTAACGAACAATTCCTGTCTTTCAAATTCTAATTTATAAGAAATCAAAAGTTAGCAACGATCAAATTTTCTTCTATCATCATTAGGGTTTCCGTAGATAACTGCTATACAGTTGTAAGGGCTGACTGTACCAACAGGCTTAATGAAAAAGAATAATTTAGAAGTAAATAAATTTACAATAATTAAATTAAATATAAATGACCCGTACAAATCGCCCGTTATTAGAATGTTTACTGATGCTCTGTTTCTTTTATCTTTCTTCCTCTTGAAGATTGGGGATCTTTGTCCTATCAAGCTGAGCAAACCGAGATTTCCGGCTACCCATCTGTGCGAGTTTACTCCATTAGTGATGGATACGTCTATGAAGGTACCGGAGTGCCTTATTTTATGGTCTCGCCGCTTGATCTGACCATCCAGGCTCTGGACACAGACGAGCGTTGTTCGCTGATTGTCTCTTTATCTCAGACCTCTTATTGCGACTCTCAGCAGTGGGATCCTGAAGATCCTCGCTGTGTCCAAGTTATTCTGACAGGACGCTTCGTCAAGGTATGTTTTGCACCTCTCAACAGAAATAAATTTGCATCCTAGGAATTGTGTTGAGGCATTTGAGCATTTAAAATAGTTTTGGAAAAATTAATTTCAAAGATGTCAAATTTAATTCAGTTAAATCGGCGATCCCAATTCTTGGAAATCAAGCACCATTTGAGGGAGGTATAAATTCAGAATTTTTTTTTATTCCCTTTGACAAAAAAACAAGATTGAATGCAACTAAATGCATCTTGCTGAATTTCAACCATTTTCGAATTTGAGAGAAGTGCATTCCAGTTTCATATCTCAGTCATCACCACACAAAACAATCGACAAGAGGATCGGTTTTCACTTCTCTAAAATGATCGAATAACAACTAATTTTGCTGTAGGCGGAAATTCAAACATTTCTAACCATCTACTCAAAAAATCAGGTACCTAAAAAAAATTCACATTTCAACTCTTTTGAAGAGTGTGTGAACTGAGCGTTCGAAAGAAGCGGAGGGTTGTTCTGGATTATCTTTTTTCAAAAAGAAATTAAGGAAAGCCTTCCCAACATAACTTCCTGCAACAAAGCCACATCCGAAAATTGTAATAGTTACCATCACTGCATGCATCATAGGCCTTTACTCCTTATTAAAAAATCATACCCAGGTTATAACACCCCTTTTTTTCTTTTCATCTGAAAAAGAAAAAAATTGTGAAAACATGAGGGATGATAAGTCATGTATGCAAAAAAATACCCTTTTCACTGTTTTGTTTTGTTATTTGACAGCTTCCAAAGAATAGTGATGAAATGATGTTTGCCAGACGTGTACTTTGGGACAGACATCCGCAAATGATAAGCTGGTTTGTTAATAAGACTGGTGAGTTCTCGTAACCTAGGATTTTGAAATTTCCTTTTTTCTTCTTTAAAAAAGATAGACAAAAAGCTTAGTTTCTCTGAATGTTTTCACTGAATTCATGTACTGAGAGAATATTACCTACAATCACTCATTTTTTTTACATTTAGATAGGATCGACCAGAATTACCCTAACTCCTTCAGATATTGCCTCATTTCCTCTCATGTTTTATTTCATAACAGAAAACTACGTAACATTCTGTCAGAGATCAAACGCGAAAAATTTCAGAGGTAGAATTTACGAAGTAAAATTGGTACAATACTCATGAATGAATGTTGGAGAGCTGGAGTTCAATTGCTGTTGAATGTGGGGGAGCAGAAACTAGATAAAAAAAAAGGATTGAATACGAGACCTTTAAATACTTGAATTTTTGAAGAATTCACTGAGGGGAATTACATTTAGACTTAGAATAAAAATGCGAAATGAATAAGAATTGTGTTACATCCACACCGGGTTAAAGATGTCAAAAGACTTAGAATTTAGGCTTGCGAGGCCTTTTATACAGATGATGACGTCACCTATGGCTAGGTGGGCCTGCACTTCTCATTGGCTATTAGAAATCCAGCTCATCTAATCTTATCAATCAAAATATTAAATTTTAGTACGATACACAGGTTGATAGAGAGAAATAAAACGGAGTTGGACTAAATTTTGAGTGCGTTGAAAAATCTGAATGTGAGGAATTTTGAATAGAGAAAGGAAATAATCAAAGGGGAACTCATGGGGAGTTTTAAGTTACATATGATGTTAGTTCTCTGATAAGAAAATAAAAGATGAATGGAAATTAAGCAACAAAAAATTCAGTTAGACTGTTCAGGTTCAATCCATGACTGTGGTCTTCAAAAACTGCAAAGTTAAATTGATGGAGGATTAAACTATAGTAATACTTTATGATACTGTTTAGGAACTTAGTTGAAAAGTACAGATTCAACAATTTCTATTTCACAAGACTAAAGCAAACACCATACTGAAGTCTTTCCTTATCAAATTCTCGATGTAACCTTTTTTTTTTCTTCTTCTAGATCACAACTGGCAATTTGCAAAACTGAACATAGAATTCATAACAGTGATCGACTACTTTGGTGGGCGCAAGTATCCAGGGTTGTCAGAATACTTTTCAGCGGAAGCTCCTAAACCATATGGCGTAGAAATGATCTAATAATGTTTGCAAAAGAGAGGAGAAAAAAGAGGCACTGATACAACACTCTATGATTGTTGCTCCTGTGAAGACGAATGATTACTGCTCATGACACTTTTCTCATTCTTGTACTACCGAGCACGATAGGAAATAAAATTTGCAAAGGCAAAGTTATCTCTAAACTGCGATTACTTGGAAATGCAAAATGTGTAAAGGGGTTGAATTTTTTTTCAAGTTTGATTGTGTTCCAATGATTAGATTTTCAGAGGGGGGATGTTAACTGGAATAAAAGTATAATGTCAAAACAGTACTTTAAGAAGTTTTAATAACTTCAAGCTTTATCCTTTCTTATTACTTGGACAAGTTTGTGCTTTAATTGGTTGCAAATGTACACTGCTGTCCGAAATAAGAATGCTGCAACTTCATCCCAGTTTTTTCTACTTTTTTTATAATTTTAAATAATTTTATTGTTCAATGAAGCAACCTGTTTTGAAAATTTAACTTTATGAATATTCTATGTGAGAATGTTCCAACCCAAAATAAAGTAATAAAGCACCAGAATTAACAAAAGAAAACAAGAATATTTTAATTTACCTAAAACTGATTAACCTATAATACAAATTGAAACAATTACCTAGACTGATCACTTTGCTAAGACTTACTGTAAACACTGTACAATAGAGCTGAAGGGATTTGTTAGAGAGTTCTGACTAGTTTTCAACTCGGAGTTTTGGAATGTCTTGAGGAATGTACTCTTTAGCTCATCGCTGGCCAGGCTGTGGTAGAAATGAGAGGCACTGATGCACAGTAGTTTGCGGTCCTCATACTCGAATCTCCCTATGCGTGACTGCACATGTGGGAAAAGGGCGCGCAAACATGGGTTCACACTGGCGCTGATGAAGAAGCAGGTGAGGCACCACGTCGCCATAGCGATGGAAAGTCCTCTCGTAAGGCTTGTCAATGATGTTACGATCCAGTCTTGTATGAGGGGAAGTTGGTCTTCTTCACAGGCTTTCTCGAACACCTATAAGAATGCAGGAAAAAAAATGGAGATTGAAACAATGAGTGGTGTGATTGAACATGAACAATGGGTGAAAAATGGACCACATTTTGCAATTTAGAACTATGATTCCTGGCACAGTTTAGAAAAAACCTACGTGCCCTTGGTTTTCCTGTACACATAAGTGTTTTTACGGATGAGCTGGAAATTGTAGTTCCTAATTGGAAAATGTAGTCCAAATAATCAGATGAATGGATTATATTTTGCTATTTGGAACTACAATTTCTGGCTCATCGCCAGTTCAGAAACAACAAAATGTATCATTGGTTTTCCTATGCAAAGAAGTGTTTTCAAGTTTTTACAGAAATTACTGCAATTTCTAGTTCTGAATTGCAAAATGTAGTCCAAATAATCAGATGAATGGATTACATTTTGCAATTTGGAACTACAATTTCTGGCTCATATTTAGTTCAGAAACAATGTATGTCCCATTGGTTTCCCTATGCAAAGAAGTGTTTTCAAGTTTTTACAGGAATTTCTGCAATTTCTGGTTCTGAATTGAAAAATGTAGTTCAAATGGCAAACAAGATGTACTCCGTAAGGTTTAACCAATAACTTGCTTAGACTGATCTTGATATTTTTAGCAATTTTTTAATAATTATTAAAAAACAGGATTTTGTAATAAATTTAAAAGATTAGATTTGTCTTGAAGAGTTGTTGAAGTAATCTTCAAGTAGATTCAGATGCAAAAAACTGTATGTTTGCAGACACAAATAAATTTTGAGAGTGACTCAGTCAGAAATCAAATACTGAGTCCCAAGGTAATCGCTGGCGGTAAAATTTTGTTATTATTTGATACAATATTCTTCGTGACCTCCAATGATCGTCTTTTATATGTAAAATTGAACTTACTACGTGCTAATTTTTGGGCTATATTCAGTAATAGAAGGGCTGAAAAGTGATCAATTCAGAATTTTTGCACATGTTTGTTGATGAAAATGTGGCACTGTTGCTGTTTTGGATATGTTAAACTTATAATTCTGAAGAAGTTGATGCAAGGCTGAACAGTGTCCGACTCATCTTTTCGGCCAGTAAGACAAGGAAAGAGAAGCTCTTTTTTGAAACATCATTTTAACTAGATACTGCAAGTGCATATTAAAATGCGAAAAAATTCTCTATTCAGCTCTGCTTTACTAGAGTTTGGTACATAGAATGTTCAACTTCGAAATCTCATTGTGCTCAAAAAGGCACAAAGAGCATCATGTCAAATAATAGTGAAATTTTTCTAACGCTAAATTTATTGGTTTTTTGTACAGGGTACTTTGAAGCTTAATAGTGTCTTTTGGGAGAAGTATTTTGAGTTTCTCATTAGATGATTCCGTTTTTCGAAAATTTTCGAAAAAAGCTGATAAATGCATATCAAGAATATAACTTACCTTGAACACAATATTGGCTATGCAGTGAGGATGAGGTTGATAGGGCGACAGAAATTCACCAATGACTTTTGAGAGCAGATCGGAAGCAGGAAAAAAGTCAGTCAGAATTTTGGGTAAAACACTACAGATCACCTCCACCTCCAAAGAGCTTGATACTTTAATTCTGTAAAATCAAAAGAATAAAGTTAAAATGAAAGAAAAAAAAGCAAATGAATAAAAACTTTTCTCGTACAATTGCATACATTTATGTTGCTTTGATGAAACATTCAGTTAGTAAGCAACATAGAAAATAGCAAAATATTCAAAAACTCATTACAGTGATCTGACAAGGGTTTTTTCTGTGCTGCGTCTATCGATTCAGTTCTCATGAGGATACTGAAAAATTATTTCCGAAAGGAAATTTTTCCTACCAGAATTTTTCTTATACACAAGATTACAATAGAATTAACAAATTGCCTTCCAATCTGAAATCCCTTCCATCATTGTACCACCATATTTCAAGTTTATGGTAAAAACAAAAGTACAAAACTTCCATATCGTTGGTTGTTTTCACTGTGTCAGTTCTAAGTTTCATAGGAAGCACTGTACCAAAAACTTTGCTCTGAGCCACGAAATCTAATTCTTTCTCAACTTGGTTGCTTTGATCAATTTTTGGGCAAACTTCAGGGCTGTCATAGTTTCTTCATCTGCAAATTCCCTGACTTTTTTTCTTTTCCCGACCCCAAAATTTTCAAATTCCTTGACTTTTCCTAACCTTCGTACACGATTTCCGACTATTTTTTACTTTTCTTAAATACGCTGACTTTCATTAGACTTCAACACAATTTCCTTGTTTGGAGCTCAAATTATGGAAAAAAGCATTCAGAACCTGGTTAGAAAATGACAAACCTTAAAAACAGTTGGAAGATTAGTGGTATGTTATAGATTAGTAGATGTGGCAGAATTTCCCTGAATTTTCCCACAAATTTTCTAACTTTCCAGGTTTTTCAGCAACCCTGAAACTTGCAAACAGATGCTCCTCGCATGTAGCTGTGTACTTAAATGTGAATTTTAATTATAAGGGAAAATTTTCTGATTTTCTATACCGGTAAACACCTTGCAGAGCCCTTCATCAATGGGCAATCACATAAATACATACAGTAGATTGCAGTATGTTTGGTGCACACATTTTTCTTAACCAACGTACCTTTCAAAAAACGTGGAAATATTCTCCCTTTTGCTGATGAGCATTTCTGGATCAGAGCCGTTAGTCGGAGAATCACCATCCTCTGACATGGAGAGTTTTTGAGTGTAGAAACAGGACATGAAAAGCTGCAGAGCAATGATGCTGCTCAAAGTATCAGAGTGTGAAAACCTATCAATAGCCAATCTCATTATTTGACTGTGAATATTTTTGTACTTCTGCGTCAGGATCAACCGCTCGAACCCCTGGATTATTGCTTGGTAAACAGAATAATGTTTCAAATTACTGCTAATCTTACACAGCTCTAGTAATACGTGTATTATAGTTTGACATAAGCTTTGATTAACTTCATCCAGTTTGACTTTCTCAATCAAATACAAGCCTATAGATATGGTGCATAGCTGAAATTCTTCATTGTACTGGCCCATTAACTGGACGTTGAGATTTTTCTCTACGAAATCGATCGCGATATGTAATACTGCTTGTGAGTTTTCTGCGTAATATTTAGACGGCAGCAATATCTCTACGCTTGATTTTAGGTCACCATCCATTGAATCACTTTCTTTTTCATCATCTAAAATGTTTTTCAAGTCGTAGAAAATTGACTTCGATTCAAATTTAACTGCTTCCGAAGGCTGCGTCGTATTCGTTTCCTCCAAACCGTAATCTAGCATGACATAGCTTTCTAACAAATAGAGTAGACTATGCAAAGCTGCAACTCTTGAGGGTAAAAAGCTACTTTTTAATCCTGAATCTAAAATCTTGATGACCTTGCTAAAAATATTGGGTTCTACGTTCTGTAAGACAGCGGCAGATTTGCAAACAGCCACGATTAAATACTGACTAAGAATGTCGTCCTCGACGAGGTGCATTTTGTGGAACAATAAACTAGCACCAAGCATCCACTGAAAATGCGCATGGTCCCTGAAGAGGTCCGATATGATCACAATTGATCTGATCACTTCGTACAGCAATGGAAGGTGACGTTTCTGTGACATCCATTGTGCATACAGATCGATTAGAAATTGAAGACAAGAGCTTAGGTCCAGCCCACTTTTTTGAAGAGCGTTCTCTAGCTCAATGCACAATTTATTGTGCTTCTCTTTTTCTAAATTGGTCTCTTCACTTGTGTCTCCGCCTCGTACTGAGGTTCTCAAAAAATGCACTGATACTTGATTGTAACCGTATCTCTTATGACTACAGATTCGTTCAGCGTTTATCAGGCAATTGAACTGGCGCAACTGGACGGTGAATTTGAGCGAAGAATGAACATTGTTAATTTTTTCAGCTAAGAGTTTGTTGACTTCAATGAGCTTCTGACCCCAATCTTGTGTTGATAGGAAATCAAGATTATATCGCGAGGAGTGAATGATCTGGCTATCGCTGATGTTGCCAGGATTTGGTAACCTCAAAGTTCCAATGAGTAGAGACGTGACAGCTGTCACACCAATACTGATTGTCTGAAATCAAAAAGAGAAAAAATATCAGACACGGAAATACCATTTCTATTTAATGGGCGGTTATATCTTTCCTGAAGAAACTAAAAAATTATTATGGAAGTACACAATTTCAGTCATGCATTTGTAAATAGAGATGGAGTTTAAAATTGAATGCTGTTATTTCTTTAGCATTTGTCTTGATAAATTTAGACTTGACTTCTTACAAATTGAAAATCGGTGATTAATTTGAGATGTTAGGTTCTCTTGAACTGTGGGACTTGAAAATTAAATTCTTACAAATTCTCAAATTTCAGAATACAGTAATTCCGGCTTTCCGGCCAAGGTGGCTCCTAAAATTTTAGGGGGAAGGCAGACCACTGTTTATGATAAATTCGTCACCTTCCAGGCAAAGTATCACAAGCGCCATGCGACGTTTAAAAATTTCCGCCGCCATTTTATTTCTTTACTGAGAAATTGTTGGTTGAATCTGTTTGGAAATTTCACTAAATTTAATCGGCAGCACAAAGAAAATTCAGTGAAATTGTCGGACAGCATCGTTGAACAATTTCTCTGTAAAAAAATAAAATGGTGGCGGAAATTTTTAAACGTCGCATGGCGCTTGTGATACTTTGCCTGGAAGGTGACGAATTATAGATTCTGTTGCCAAAATTTCAAAAACACGATTGGATAAAATACAACATAATATGGATCCTGTCCAGATCAAAAGTCTCATACATTTTCTTCATAATATTGTTGGACAGATAGGTATAATTATCTCTGTACCTGAACCACAGCCATGATTTCTTCTGGCGGGGCATCCACCTCTAAAGGAGTGTTGAGCACCGTTAAAATAAGCATCCAAGTTTCTTCAAATTGCTGTCGATTTCGCCAACCAAGAAGAGACACCCTGTAGACTAGCTGGTTCAAAATATCGATATCTTGGAGACAGAATAAAGGCAATGCTGGTATTTCGCTGATTGATTTCAGATCATCGTACCACCCTGAATGCTTCCATGCATCCGGGGAAACACGCAAATAAGAATTGACGACTTTCAACCTGCTAACAGCAATAATGAGGTCCCTGAAAGATAAATTAAAACAAGAAAAAATTAATTGAATCAATCAAATGACAAAGGGAATCATGAAATATTCAAAGTAAATATTATTTTGGTTATGAAAAACTTTTCTTAAATAAAAGGAAGAAGACTAGCGACTGTTGGGAGGTTTTCTGGAAGAAGTAACTTTTCAAAACATTGAGAATATGATTGGCTAAAATAAGAAAATGCTATGACAGCTATCAGAATTTTTCAGAAGCAGTTCCAGTACAGCAAGCTAAAACAAAAAGGCGTCTTGTCAGAGTTTAAATGGCCTAATAATACATGGTTTTCCAACAAGGATTTGATTCGAAACCCTCAGAAACAATACTTTTTTTCTCTTTTTACAGTTTTCACAGATCCAAACACAAAACTTCCTACACATCTTCAAGTTTATGGAGGATCCACTATCTTACACTTCTTGGACAGTTTGATATACGTGTAAGTAAAAAAACGAATTTAAAAACTTACTTCAATGGACAATAGATGAACGCTGAAATACTTTGAATTTCAGTGAACTTTTGTAGCCAGTTGATGAGACTGGACATTTGATAGCAGGCGTGAGCTATGGGAGCAGAATCAGGTTCTACGATCAGTCTTTCCAGTCCAGCATTACTCAGGAGTTCTAGAGATTCGTTGATAAGGTGCTCGACGCTGCGCATGAGAGTAGAGGAGACTGAGCAGATATGTATGTCTGATACAATATTTTGCACAGCCTCGAGTTTGAAGACTAGACAGTTGCAGTGCAAGACCATTTGCAGACAGCTTGGTAACGAGTAGGCCAGCTGCTTGCCAGAGAGGGTCCAATGAAGGACCTGTGAACAATCGAAGACTTCTTAATACATCGGAATCAATGGAAGCAGAAGCAGATAAAATTATTTACTCATGAGAAGTTCAATGCAAGACAAACTACATCTGATTTGTTTTTACATACAGAGATTGAACCAAAATGGGTAGATCAAGTGGTTTCGTATTTTGTTTTCACACGATCATAATTTTTCAGAACAACAACGGGACTTATCAGACAGATAGAAGATGGAATTCTTGCAAACGTTGGAGCCAAAATATAATCCAACAAAAAGTAGGGTTTAGAAATGACCGAATGAGGAAGATGGCATCCAACCGGCATCAATTTCGAAAGTCTGATTACAAACCCGCAGGCTTATGATCTCTTCGCCATTGTCGCAGCATTTTGGCTCAACGGATCATCAATGAAAATACGCCTCTTTGTGGAAAAAACTTTATGTGACCAACCTCAAAAATTTATAGCAGATTCTATGTTTGTAAGTATAAAAATAGTTCATAATCTCATAATTTAATCTCATAATTCTCAGAATCTCATAATTTAAATCTCTAAATTATTGGATCACCCTAGAAGGATTCCTCTGTCATTGAAAATTTACCGATTCTTGGCTAGCCAAAATTTGGGGAAACTTTTTACTGCAATGCTGCGTTAAGGAAAAACGCTGCAAGAACATTCAAATGTTGCCAAATTTCCCCGATGAAATGTTTACTTCTGAGGAACTTTAGGAATATTCTTCCTTAAAATTTTTGGATACTTTAGATTGTTTTGCGGAAAGATTGGGATAAAAACATTAACAAATTTTCCCAAAAATTCTTATTTTCTTGAAGCTTAATAGCACATTTTTCGCTGAGAGTTACTGATAAGACACCAGTGTTCGAGGCAGTTGCCAGATCATATAACGGCCTTTCTTTCAGAAAATATTCTTCTTGCAAGGGCAAAAAACTGTAAAGGATTTCTAAAACAGCTGTTAACTAATTTTGAATTAAATAACTGAAGTATGATGGAAATTGAATCATGTTGTGTGAAAACCTCTAATATCTATTTTTCGAACTTTCAATTCTTTCATGTTACAAATTATACTTTCAAAGAGTTATGTGATCATGAAAGTGGTGTAGACTAATTTCAGGATTAAAATAACCCTGAAACGAGTATTAACAAAATTTTCATGGTTGCGTCTAACTGTGAAAAGTATTATTAACCCAAAAACTCAAGACTGGAAAAATGGACATAAGCAGTTTTTGCATGAAACGATTTAATGGTGAGCAACATCATAAATTGAAACACGTCTTTATGGTGCTAAACCATCAATGAGTACCAAAAACTGAGTAGACTTTGACCCAAAATTTCCTTGAGAGAATATGATTTGTAATATTCAGGCGAATTCCTACCTCCATGCATAAGACAGCAAATCTCAGAAAGTCTTCGACCGCATCCTCTTCAAGTAACTCAGGTAGCAATCTTATAGATTCAAAATATTTTATAACTGCAGGAATCAACTGGTAAAGTAGTTCATAGAATTCAGAACTGGCGAAAAGATTATCCATCTGCTCTGAGTACTTCTCTTCTTTCATACTTTGAGCTCTTCCCAATGGCTTGTAAACCTGCAAAATTAAGGCAGTTGAGAAAACTTTTAGTGACCTTGATGGCTTAATTATAGTTTAGTTAGTGAGTAGAAATATAAAGAATTATAAAAAGTGAAACTGAAAAAGCTCATGGTTAAAAATAATTTTTCAAGACGGCATATCTTTAAAATGCCTTATTTTTGATGGCAGACAGGTGCTGATTCATGGATACAGCGAAAAAAACCCGCTTCTCTCTATGCAAGCGCTTTTTTACCAGTATTCCATTAATATTGCTCCAAATGTCAGTTTGAAAATTTGTTATTCGCAATACTGCAAATGTCAAACAGTGCGCGAGTCAGACGAAGCAATTATTCGCACAGTTCTATCAACAAATTAAACTATAAAAGCATTTGAAAGAAGTTCTTGAGGAAATCTTTTTAAATCCTTAAAAATATACAAATAAACCTCTTTTAAACTTACAAGGAAGATTGGTAATATTTCATAACTACTGGAGCCCTGAAGGTTTTCATGAATTTAAATTTTTCCGTTAGTGCTACTCAAACTTTAAGGTAGTATCTTCGATACTGTAGAAATTCAATTACCTGCTGCACTCTGGGTAGGAAACTTTTCAGATGATGCACATGTGATAGTAAAACTTTCCTGGCGGCCAGATAGAGCGGTGAAACTGAGCAGGCCACTTCAATGTCAGAATTTGTTTCTTCCTGCACGTTCACTGATGATTTCTCACTAACTTCAAAACAATGCTGGAGGATGGAATTGTTGAACTGTTGACAGCGTAGAATCTCAAGAATGTCATCAAACTGTAGGTGCTTTAGTAATGAGGCTGATTCGACCGGAGAACAATCTATTCGGCAACATCTACATTCGAAAAAACAACAGCAAGAGAAAAATATGGAATTATTTACTTTTTCCCTCGCAGAAATGAATATACATACATAAGAGCCACTTTCATACTGCTCTTTGAGACATTGAACCGCTAAAATTCTCTATCCTCCCGCAGCTCTTCAGGGAATTGGCACTCGCTCATTCTTGTGAATATCCTTGTTGCTACCCTTTTACTCGGCATTTCCTTTGCGGCCTCCAAGAAGGAACCAAATTACACTTCTTTTTTGGTAGCCTTTCTTGCAGATGTTATGTATTATGCATGTAATATGTTGGGTATTTTATAGCTGTGGATGACCTATAATAATGATTGCACTAAACAAACGTATCACAACTCCAATAAAACTCAAACTTGCATCACAATCTTCTGGTCTAGGGACTACATAAATCTTCTTTTTAACTTTGTCATGCTTTACCATTTCATAATATATGTCAAATTTAATCAAAATTTAGTTAAATTAAACTTATTTTTAATAATATCTCAGAAACTTAGGGACATCATTGCCAAACTCCTATAGACCAAATTCATAAAACTTGATCAAAATTTCACTAATCTTCATCAAAGTACATAACTGGAAATTATATTGGTTCCATGAAAATTCTGCAGAATTTGACATAATTTCAATCATGACAGTAAGACCTCGATTTATCAGATTTCATGGGATGGACAAATCGATCCGTAAAGTTGTGAAATCCATTAATTTGAATTTGCTTAAAGCTCTTAAGCTCCTTGGGCCTACTTTAAATTTAAAATGACATTAAGCTGTTAAATCATAGAATCCATTAAATCGCAGGATCCATTAAATCGTAGAATCCATTAAATCACAGAATCCGTTAAATCACAGAATCCGTTAAATGGCAATCCGATAAATTAAAGTCTTACTGGGGTGCATGTGTTCAGGGAAATTCCACACAAATTCTTGTGAAATGTCAAACATGCAATTTCGATCACTATTACAGGCTTCTCAATACTTTCTTTTTGACCTTGTAATGAAGGTAAACATAGAAGAATACACGGAAAATACATACCGTAATCTAACCTGTGCATTTAACCAGGCTTTGTCTACCGATACGTTTCGTAGACTATCAATATCCAATGGTTTGTTCTGACCTCCTTCCAGCGGCGGGAGCTCATAGCAATGATTAGTTAATTTGTTCATTAAACTGAAAAGGTTTGGATGTCGTCTTAATAATTTTGGCGAGTTAAATAATTCTTTACGATACGAGACCAGGGTATCTTCTGGAATGAGACCTTGAACTTCTTCTTTGGGTCTGGTTAGTAAATACTCAATTTTCCTGCAAAGTAAAAGAATAATGTAGCTAAACTGGAAAACATTAGAAAACAATATAAAATTAAATCTTCCAAAGTCAAACCATGATTCGGAAAAAATTCTGCTTGAGTTAAAATTTTCTCCAGTCCCCCGACATTGCTTTAAAAAGCACTTTAAAACATGTGATGAAAAAAATTCGTGTTTTTTGGGGGAGGAGAGGGGGGGGGGACTTAAGGCTGTTTAAGTAAGAGAAAATTTTCAATATGGAATTTTTATTTTTGCATTGAAAACAAGATAAACAGGCAATTTAAGAAAATAAACCAATTAAATGGATGTACTGTAATCTACTTGTATTCTTGTAAATTGTGATGTCTAGAGATTGAAAAAGTTTGTTGTTATTATTTCCTAATTTTGTTGTTATTATTCACAAATTTCATGTTATTTTTAGGGAGATTTAACTAATTTCAAACACTAACTAACCCTCAAGGAAGAAAACTATGCTAACCCTTTTGAGAGAATATTGCTGTTTATCCAAGATGAACACATGTTCCTCTATGTCGCCTCACTCAATGTCAAAAAAAAGTATGCAACGACGGATGTGTGTTATGCAGAGTAGGAATTAAAAGAAAAAAAAGAAAAGAAGAAGAAGAAAAAAAAAATTGGAGCTGAGATAAAATGAGTTCCAAAAGCAGAATTAAGTTAGACTGGGTTGGCAGGTTCGATGTTCATTAGGGTTTGTTTTTTTTCATTTAAGTTGGTTTCGACTTGGCTAAATGCTTAGGTTAGGCATAGGTTACAGAATTTTGGGCTACTTGGTTATGATATGAGTTGATCCAACAATCACCGATTAAGAGCTTTTCCATCACCCCTCCCCATTGAGGCACAAGGTAAATTGATCGGCTTACTCTACTGCTTTCATGCGACTTTAAACGGTTAAGAAGCCCCTAATTCAAGAGTTGCCATGCTGATGGCTGGATTTTTTTGACTGCACACAATTGGACATTGTCTCCTTGCGAGAAGATTTCTTAAATTCGATGAGAATGTTACAATTTTAATATTCAAAGTTAAGAAACAAAAGTAAAAGAGGAAACATACCGACAGCTAAGAGATGCAATTTGTCTTGCAGATGAGAAACTTTGATTTTGGAGAAAATTTGGGGTAACAAACAGAATCACTTTTCCGCTGAGATCTGGATGTGATGATTCAAGACATTTCACTAGACGATTGATGAAAACAGGCTGTGGAATAACAAACAGATTGAGAAGAATAAGACTCCGGTAATAAATGGGTTCAATTTTTTTCTTCTGAGATTGAAGGTTCTTAAACAAAAAAGGAGGATTTACATATTCTTTGTAGAGTAGTACCTTATATTAAAATGATAATTTTAAAAAAGGAGGAACTTCAATTAAACCTCGTCGATTTTCTCTCTGTACTTTATAATTTTAGAAGTCAAAACTAATCGAAATCGAATTTTCACATGAATTCACATTATTTTGTACACCCGGGAACTAGATGGTTTCTGAAAAGCTGACTCGCTGCGCTACTTTCGTGCCTCTTGAAATAAAATGTTCCATACTATCTACCATAGTTAGTCAGGTTTACACAGAATCACCCTAACTACATCAGACTTTGCATCATTTTCTCTGATGGAAGAAAACTTGAATATTCTGTAATTTTTCTTCTCCATGCAAAGAGAATTTTATGAAAACTTCAAGGTATGATGTTCATTTTTTTTCCTTAAAAAAAGTACCATAAGAGTAGTGATTTTAAGAAACTGCAAATGAGATACGTTGTTTAGTAGTTTCACGGCTAGTTTCACGGCCGATATATACTTACAATTGCAAAGTTCACTGAATACAGACAGTGTTGCATGATTTTGTATTAACGACAAAATTGCAAAGTCCACTGAATACAGACAGTGTTGCATGATTTTGTATTAACAACAAAATTGCGAAGCATCGTTCTGACGAAGTAAGAGAAATGTCCCTCTTAAAAAAAGAGAACATTTTGTTCATTGTGAGGTGAGAATAAAGAGAAAAACAAAACAAAACAAAAAAAAAAAAAAGTACAAAGGAACACAATACAGATACTTACAGAATGATGTGTTTTGCTAAGCTGCTTCAGTTTATCCAGCAGTAAAGAATTTGCTTCATAATTTTGACTCAAAACAGATGTCAAGTTTTTGACTGGAGGCTCATTGAACATTGTTATGAGAGTATGTAGATGGTTATCTAACAATTGCTCTAGTTTGTCTAAATTTTCTACTATATTTTCCGATAAATGATCACAGTAAAGCAACAAAAGGCCTAATTTTGAAATACGAACGTTACAGCTCAGAGTTATGTTAGATGATAACACAGATGACCTGGAAAAAAAATTGTAAAGTTGAGCATACAGTTTTAAAATTAATGAAAGCAAAAAGCATACTGAAAACCACATTTGTTCAAAATATGACTCTTCCTTATTTAAACCGGTAACTGAAAACTGTATTCTCATTCAAGAAAGTAATCAACCCCAATCTTAAACCATTGAGCCCATTGACTTATGATTTAGTTTGACCTTGTTACAGGGAAATTAGAATTAGTACACAATGGTCATAAAAGCAAAACCATCTATCTCCGTTTGGGGTGTAGCAGATTTTCCATCATGATTCATTCTTTCTTTGGAAAGCTAGTAACATAACGTTTTTGAAACTTCCTTGATTTTTTTCTCTTCTTGCAGAACGTTTTGTGCAAATTTCAAGCTATAAAACTGGCTTATTTTAGATCAAAAAAATAGAATGGAAGCGGAGATTTTAAAAAACTACAATGGAAAAATGTAGTTTCACACTTTGACCATCAATATAATATAAAAATGAAAAAATCAGTAACTGGGAACATTAGACTCATTTCTTTAGGTTAATAAGCGAAATGCTAAGCTTTCAATACATATTCCTTGAAGGACCAGAGAGAAAATTTGGTCAAAATGACTTCTTATGATTGATTAATCACTGTCAGAATCGCAGAATCAGCAAAAAGTAGGAAAATTTTAGGAATAAGGATATAATAGATTCAACTGAAAAATTATGCAAAAATACCATAGCTAAGAGGAAAATTACCGTACAAAGTAAGTTTTAAAAATTAATAAATTGCCAAGTCGACTGACAGCTCTGAGCCGCTGGATCAGAACTGGCCAAATGCGGCAAGGATGGCTAAAAGCCGTTGTTTTAGGTCAATAGAATATGTTAATGAATTTGCCGTAAATTGTTGTCTACATGTATTTTTAACACAAGTAAAAGAACAAATTATTCAACCAAGAGAGAAAAAAAATACTAACATGTCAAAAGCTGTCGAGGATGTAGCATTCAACCAAAACTTATCGTCAGTCAAATTGAGGATGGATAGCAGATAGAACCACTGCAAATTCAGAGCTGGATATTGGATAGAAAGGTCTGAGAAAACTCTGGTCAAGCTCTGAATTGACTTCCCCTCACAAGGATCATGGAAAATTTCCGTAATACCTTCCACCGTTTCTACGAAAGAGCCTGAAAATAATAGAAAAACAATGATAATAATATTTAGAAAATGTTAAAATTCATGAGTGTCATGCACATGTACAATTCATACATTTTGTTAATTTATGGAGGAATATAGAAAGTATTTTATGGTGCAAGAATTGCCAACAAATAAACAAATTCTAAGTCAAAAATAACAATAGTAACAATTGTCAACAAACTCGGGTAATAAACTGTAATTTGGACGTATTTTTGCCAAACGGAACTATGTGCATTAAGACTTGAGCCCTGAAACCCAAAAGAATATATGCGTGACAGGGCTCACGTCATAATGCACATGATTCCGTTTGGCAGAAAAATCTCCATTTGAACTGAGCTGAACAACATTTTTGAAAAAATAAGGTAGCCAAAAACTAAAAACATTATCTTTTAATCTGCCTCGCCAGTCGTGGATAATTTATAGGTTAAGTTCATAGATAGTAAATTTGGTTAAAACTTAAAACAAAACAACATTGGGAAAAAAGAAAAATGGGGGAAGAAAATGAGAGTACAAATGTCGGGTACCTCTTGTTTGATTTACCTGATTGGAAGATTGATATGTAAGTTAATAACAGGCACGAAGTAAGTTGACTCAGGTACAGGCCATTGGAATCACAAGAAGAGTTAAATACAAGAGTATGAAGCTTAGTCGATGAAAGAGCGATGATCCTCAGTAGATACCTACAAACAAATATAGAAAATATGTAATTAAAGGATACGGACACCAAAAAAAACCTTTCAGCATTAAAGTTTAGATGGAATGAGGTAATCATAGGTATGCAATAAATTCCCAAACTCTCTACTTTTAAGCTCACTAAAGGTGAGGCGTTGAAAGCCATCATTGATAGCAGCTGAATGGGATTTGTGATGTGTACAGTGAAAGTTGGTTGGATCGGATTGTCTGGAGACCGAAAAAAATTTAGATTTTAGAGGCCTTTCAAGTAACTTTTTTGGCCGCTGAACACGAAAACAACCACGAGAAGTACACATTTTGAGTTAAGTGATAACACCCTGAGCTACATTGATTAAGTCTTACGTTGTGCTAAAAACCAACATGAAGTTTGAACAAAAGACATAAAAAAATACCTTTATGCAGTCATAGGAAGCTCATTTGGGAGGAATTATTGGAACCTATAATCATCAATCTGACAGTTTTTACACAGGTTTTATATGCGGAGAAAGTTAAATACTCTCTCTTTATATTGATGCTCGTTATGACAAAAATTTCTCCTTGACAAAGAATCGTCTGGGTTGTTGAACTTCTTGTGCCAATTATTGTCCCTCGTTTCGATAAAAGTTCTATGTGACGAAAAATCGTTCGGTCTGTTGCCGATTAGTTATGGAGAGAGAGTGCTATACTTATTAAAGTCAGTTTTGATGGAAAAGATAAAATCATACCTTGCCAGCACTTTATTCGGAGGGGCTTGAAATTGCGAAGATGCTGTGACATTCAGAGGATCACTTGTTTGAGAAGAATCTTCTAAATCTTCGAGAGGCAAGCAACACAGCTCCAGTTCCTCGATTTTGGGAAGAACATCGCTCTCTTTACTTGTTGAAATCAAAAGGAGCAACATTGAAAGAACAACAGCGATCCATCTTTCTGTTTCATCAGAGTCCTGGAAATTAATTGATGAAAGATCATTATTAGTACACAGGGTGATTCAGGGTGAAACGGTCAGACTGAAGGAGCGTGTTCCATGGGTCAAAATAAGACTTTTTTGTCGTAAATTGAGATTTCAATTTTTTTTTTTTAGATCATTCATGAATTTAGGGCGTTAAAGTACAGGGAAGTACACATTTTCATGAGATTTGCTTCACAGCTATTGACACAATCCAGGAAAAATGATTTACTTTCCGAAATTTGGGGGGGGGGGGAAGGCATAGCTCCAACTGGGGGCACTTTTGGAAAAAACTTTATACGGCAAAAAAGTCTTATTTTGACCCATAGAACACGCTCTTGCAGTCTGGCCATTTAACCCTGGATCACCCAGTATAGTATCTTTGAGAGATGGAAAATATAGAGAGTGCATTACAATGTTGTTAGCTAATCAGTTTTCAATGAGTTTTTTCCCACAGATCGTCTTGCTGTAAGAATTGAATCACTTTCTATCATGGCGGGCAGCATTTTTCATCTCAAACAAGAAAGAAAATCCTGATACACTCTAATTTTTTTTAAAACATATTTTTCTGGTTCCTGCACTGAAATAATGGTTGGTCAAAGCAGTGATTGTGTGTATGAGGCAAAAAAGGGAGGGACAACCGCTGCCCTCAGTTTTTGAGGTTTTTTCCCCAAATGAAAGCGTATCATGAAAACAACCAAAAACTGCTTTGTAAACCTAATTTTCAAAATTTTTCTAGAAGAGGACTCTCCGACCACCCCTGGCTCCCATCTCCTTTTATCAAATTTTGCTCCTTCCAAGTTTCAGTCCTTGCGTTGCCACTAGATAAGATAATTTTTATACCACAATCTTTTAAAATCAAGTTAAGCTGGATTGGTTTCTAATATTTCTAATTTCCCTCATTCTCTTCAAATTGTACTTGAAGAGAAAAACGTTTTGATATTTTGGGGTTTCTCTATTTTTGTTAAAGCTTATCATCTTGAAACAACAGAAGTGCCATAGTTTCCATATTTTCTGGTCTGTTGCTTTCGATCAGAAGTTGTTTACGCTTGTGTCAAAGTAGTTGACCAACTTTCAGAGTGCGATGAAATATTCCTCTTCTTCGCCCTTGTCTTTAACTTAAGGAAAAGAGGAAAATAAAAATTTCAGTAAAAAAACTGACCTGATTTTGAAGATACGTGGAAAATAAAATTTTCAAGATACTGCCCGGCGATGAGAATATGGAAGGAGACAGAGAACTGAGAAGATTTAAGAAGGTTCCCAATTCCTCGATTGAATCAATTTTAAGTTGGTTTGAGGGTAAAACTCTGGACAACGTATCAAATATGAGTTGAGATCTTTGACTCCAAGCTCCATCTTGATCATGAGTGATGATGAGACTCAACAAGTGTAAAGCTTCTTGATAGTAGATTAGCCGCAACAACATTGCAAAGAGAACTTCTCGCTGTGTTTTCAACTCCTTGAGCTCCTCGGTGGTCAAAATTTGACTAGTTTTTATCAAAAACACATGTTCAACAATCGGAAACAAAGCAGGGATACCTGAAACACAGAGAAAAAACCTAGCTTTCAGAATCTATCATATTATTTTTTTAATAATTTTGGGAGAATTGTGGCCCTTCAAAATAGTTTTGACTTAAATAGGGAGTGTTAATAAAAACATTCGAACTTTCATACCTTCAAAAGGAGAGGGTTGACAACAAAAACGATAATTTTCATGTTCATGCAATAACAATGATAAAGTTTAAAAATCTTGAAAAATGTTACTTCCTCTGTTCCTTCACTCCGTTTAAACCTAAATTTTTAGCTTCCTTCTTTGCAAAATGTATTCAATTGCTTGCATTTCACATTCATATAAACACATTTCCAACAGGACTTTATCGTCAATTTTCTTTCATTACAGATCTTCTTTTTCAGTCCTGGTTGCTTTCAGAACCAAAAGCCGATTTATTGAATTCTTTGAAGTTGTTTGATATTTAGTTTCAAAGATATTTTCAAAGAGCATTGGCGAAATAGTATTAGAAATAAATCAAAAAGAAAGTTGGCGATGAAATTTCATTAAGGTCTAAAACTTTTTTTTCATTTAATTATTTTGATTAAATGGTTAGAACTTGACATTAAACAGCAAAAAGGATAGGATGTAAAGATGAGACTTACAAAGCTCTTCAGGTCGCTGGCCACTTGCGATCAACCCGTCACAGAGTTGAATAACTTTTGGAATACACATGACTGGCTTGGAATGATTTTTGTCGTTTGATAAATGAACTAGAAAATTAAAGACTTTTGGAACTAAAAATTTGGGGTTACGAATCTGGCCTGCTTCCAGATATTCGAAAAGAGTTAGGACGAACTTGATGAAAAACTGATTGGAATCTAGAAGCCAATAGTTCACGCCAACAAAAACTAACTCTGTCATGAAGGCGATGACAGTTCCTTGCAGCTCCACATTACTTGTGACTATGCATTGCTGAAACAGAGTGAGATGCTGATTAGACATGCTGTTGTGAATTTCTTTTCAGGATTCTTGAATGAACTCAGTTTAACTGACAGAATTACTGAGTGTTCACATCCACCCTTGGGAAGATGATTCGTCCCAGACTTTCAGCATGATCAAACTGGCATGCGATTCATCGCATCGATTAAGTAAAAAATCTCAGCAGATTTTGACTTTGCATGAGCCTTGATAATTATTCTGAATCACAAAAAATTGCAAAATTCAGAGGAGTAAAAGCCAAATACTTCTTGAACAGAGAAAAGTTGCATTCTATACGGCTATCAACCTTGTGAATACAACTTCAAAATCGCACAGTTCAACTATGAAGCCTGAAAGCGATATGATGCTTCAAGCTGCTAGCTGCGGTATAACTGCAAACAGGGTTGCTCAATTGGACATATTTCTGCTAAACAGAACTATGTGCATTATGACGTGAGCCCTGTTATGCATATATTTTTATGGGTCTCAGGGCTCGTGTTTTAATGCACATAGTTCCGTTTGGCAGAAATACGTCCAATTGAGAAACAATTTACTCAAACAAGGGTAGCGCAAAGGACTCTCAGTAAAGGAGGAGAGAAAAATAGAAATTAACATTTGAGTTTAGAATAAAAAATTGTTCTAATGGACTTACATTGAGAGCAGTGATGATCATAGATTCTGACAACTTGATATACGAGGTTAAAACTGCTGTATTTGTACTTTTTTCAGGTGATTTTAAGATGAAGCTACTTGAACGTCGATCCCTCACCAGTTCATTGCTATTGTTCACACCAGTCAACCTACACCATAATCAAGCAAAAATATTAAATGAGAGTTACAAAGAATACTGAGGCAGTTAACTTAAGGAGAATATGTGTTAGTCAAGGTTCTTCATGTTAATCAGAACCAGCTGTGAATAGCTTCAGCTACGATAGAGCAGCTTTGAAGTTTCTACTCCAGATTCTAAAATGGGATGACTACCTCATGCAAAAGGAGCAACTTTTATGAGTGACTGTATTGAGTTTCTTTCTATTTGTACCTATAGCATTAATGGAAGAGAAAAAGCTAACAAAAAATATCATTTATACTTTGAAAATTATGAAATATTGTTGAAAAGCACAATGATACATCATTATGGTTTACTATTTCGAGGGGGTAAGAACTACGTACTTAACAAGCAATAAAATTTCGAAATAGTGTTTAAAAAATTCTGTAGTTCCCTTTTGTTTTAAATTTAAGAGACATCTTTCTTAGAACTCAGAAATGAAAGGTTAAATGCTTAAATTTTTTTTTAAATTTATTTTTTATTAAGTTATGTTTGTAACTTTTGAGAGAGAATAAGTTAAAAATGTCTGTTCTACAGTACTTTCGAAACTGAGAAAAAAAAGATTGAACTCAGTACTTTTAGAATTATGAAAACTGAAAATGGTAAAAAGTAATTCAAACTTACCTGTCATTTGGCTCACTGCTAAAAGATACGTCTTTGGCACAGATCTCAATGTAATCAGAGAATTTTTGAAATGGAGTTTGGAAACAATGATTATACAATGAGTACAAGGAGGGGTCATTTCCTTCTTTCTCTTGTGACATTTTGCTTGTCTTCTGGTTTTCTGATGAGTATCTTGCTAGTTGATTCGTGCTAAAAATACTTTGTAGTAATGAGAGTACACACTTGACAGTTTCCGTTGGTTTCAATGGGAACGTAAATTTCAAACAAAATAGAAGTTCGTCTGCTATTCTCCCTGACTCTTCAAGAGTCATAAAATTTAAAATCTTGCTCAGAACATTGAGATTCGTCTCCAAGAGATTAAAAAACTTTTCTCCAGGTTCAGGACTGAGCGTGACTTTGATATTACTGTACGTGGCCTTCAACATATCTTGCAACTTGGAGAACCTTGACAGATGAGAATAATTGCCGTACGACTTGTTTTTCTCTTCTTTTTTATCACTGTCACTTAGGGACTTGGTTGGAGAAAGAGATCTATTCTTCCGCTTCATTGGAGAGATTGTGGGAGGTGCTAATGCTCTCAATGCCGGTGCAGTGATGTTCTGATTCGGTTGAGGCTCATTTAAAATATTCATGAAAACATTTGTCAGTCGGATTAGGTACAACAATAGCGTTTCTGCGAGTGACTCAAATCTTTTGTCTTGAAAAAAACTCCAGAGATATCTAGTTTGTGACAACTTTGGACTTGAGGGTAGGTTCGATTTGGTAAAAGCATCTGCGAGTCCTACAAACAGGTTTCCGCCCAAAATACACAGCCAATTTTGTGCTTCCAAGTCCAAACACACAGCTGATGAATTTAAAAGGGACAACACATTGGAAAACAAGCTAATTGAAAGAGCTGACTGTTCATGAGCATTGTAAGATACAGGCATACACTGCCATGCCTTCCGATAAACGTAACATGGATACTTAGAGGATAATAAGCACAATGCTTCACAGGATCCCAAGACGATGTATTTCGATGAAAAATCTAATAATTTCTTTGACAGTAATTCCAAAATTCTAGATAGAGCAGCATCAATCGATAAATGATACTTGTGGTGCTGGTTGATTCGTTGATTCACGTTCATTGTCCTTTTTAACTTTTCAGTTACGGCGTTTGGATTGTAATTGAAGATTTCACACACTTGTTCCTCACAGGTTTTTGAGGAGACGATGATCTCATGCTCGTGACTGTGGTCAATGGGAGTGTAGAGGTATTGCACTATGTTGGAAAGACATTCAGCGGCTGATTTCCTGACGCGAGAATCATTATCACCCAGACATGACAGGATGATGTTGTGAACAATACTATTTTGAAAGTCAAGGTTGCCAGTTAGAAATTTAATGTTAATGAAAGGCAATGTACTAATTGTTTCTAGGAGTTTGACTTTGACTAGCCAGTAAGGATTCGTCGCAACTTTCAACAAAGCGTAGAGCACTTCTAGAGAAACTTTGTCATTGGTTAATATCACAGAATTCAAACACGAGGAGACTCCTCCGAGACTCAAGCGGGTGCAAACAGATGATTCATCTCCTAGACCCTGTTAAAACACACAAAAAAAGGTCACATCAGTATAAGAAATGATAAACTCAGTAAGAAAATGAAAATTTTATAGATCTGGAGCTGCCATAAAACACTTTCCTCTCAATACACGATTTGCATATGACCAGGACAAACAATTTTCACCATTTCAAGAGAATTTTTACTTAAATGATCTGTGGGGACAAAATTTCTTGTTACGAAATAAATTGATCTTTTAAAGACAGTAAGAGTTTTTTTTCAGTTAATTCTTGGCTAAATAAGAAAGGAAAAATATGCATTTCCTCATTTACTTATATGTATGTATGTATATTTAAAAATGAATTCACCAAAGGAAAAAAAAAAATAAATATGTAAATACACTGGAGCAACGTTTTTACTTAGAAAGTAATGTGGAATGAAACATAGCTGAACACACCGGATGAACAGCTTCAAGATGATTTTCAAGACCAATTTTTTCCAGTATGAATTATTCACGCAAAAATAACGAAATGACGCATTTAGCAAAAGCAAAGTTTTTTAGAATAATCCATGAAAATATTGGGACTACTATAAGGTCTTAAGATTTTCAATACAACCAACTTTTTCTGCTTTGAGTTATGAGGGACCAAAGTTAACGCTGTTAAAATACTAGATGAAATATTCTGAAATCCAGTTATTGTCCATGAATATGAATCGCCCTCATCATTACTCACTTCGATATCAGGCTACAGCAAAACAAAAGGCTATAATTTTTAATTAAACGACCATTACAACCTCACTACGAGAACTTTTTCGGACAAATTCAGTGGCACTTTGTCTCTTTGGAAACTATTTGCATGATTAATTGGATAGATCGCAAAACTCCGAACCTTACAGAAACTCCATTCCATTCAACAAAGGACGAAACAAAATCCAAACCTGAATTAGTAATTTCATCAACGCCTCCAAAGAGACATTGCAGCTGCCTTCATGCTGTTGTAACCATGAGCTGTAGTCACTTTTTCCTACTCTCAGGGCAGCGAAAATAAAATGTCCGATAAGAACCCTCATCAGGCCTCTCAGCTGCTGATCTGAGTGAGAGCTGTACGACAGAACAACATCTAAAATTGAAGTGAAGCCTTCTGGAGTCTGAACACCCGTGTTGTCAATGTTCAGCAAGCCGACACTTGGTTCTAGCCGCAGCGCTTGCGTTAGACAGTTGAGGGCTAGGGCCTTGGTGCTCACACGAACTTTGACTACACCTGATTGTTCTGTAAGTAGGAAACCTGTGATTAATCGCCTGACGCAGTAGTTAAGAGGGGGATTCCCATCAGTGACACTGCCGATGTCCCAAACCTGAAAAATCAAATAGCATCATTAGCATCATTATTTGGAAGAAAGAAATTCTTTTGGAGTCATTCATAAAATAAGAAATGCTACATTTTGGATTTTTCTACTTCTCCCCTTGTAATGCCTTTGTGTTGGAGGTTCCTATCCTTTATCATGTAAAACAAAACGGTAAAACGCTCTTATTGGACCCCCCCTCCCTCCTCCCTGGGATGTTACATATTTTATGAACCCTCCTTCAGAAAATGTTTTTTAACCCATTGACCTAAACTGACGGCTCCCAGCCGTCCGCGCTGCCCTGGGCCAGATCTGAAGAGACGGCTCAGAACCGTCTGCCGATTGTTTGCATTGGTTCGGCGATTTTCCAGTAGATTGTGTTCTTATTAATGTTTATATGAGCAGTGTGATCACCCTATGACTTATTGTGTACGGTAATTTCTTGTTTTGTTACAGTACTTTCACATTAATGTGCGTTTGAACATGAAATAACCTCAAAATTTTCTGATTATCGCTAATTTTGCGATTTTCGCCACTTTGACAGTAATAAACTACAATAACAAAATAATTTTGTTCGAAGTTTTCACCATTTTTCTCAAACATTGTATTGTGAATGCTTATTGTGTCGATTCTTATTCTTACCCTCAGAGAGGGAATTTTTGGATTATTTTGAAGTGTTCCAAGTTACTGATTTTCGCCAAATTAAATGGTAATTCCTGGCCTAACAAGGTCAAATTAAATCATAAGTCAATGGGTTAAAGGGAGTAATGACCTTGAAACAAGTAAAACTTAACCGAACGGAGCTATCAATGAAAAATGCTGCAGGTGGTCTTGGAAATAAGTTATGAACTGTATTAATTCATTTACATCAACTGTTATTTCTAGGGATTCATTTTCAATAACACACTCATCTTTTGCTACCTACACTACATTTTTCTCAAAATTAAGAGTTTTCAGCAACAGACCCTTTAACGCACCACCTTCGTATATGCACCACCGCTCCGAGGAGTAGTGCCAATACTTAATTTAGACATTTTTAGAGATAATGTTCCCTGTCACAGAGTCGTAAACATATTTTGGTGGCTCAACCCCAGAAACACCTCATACCTTGAGACTTTAATTTTTTACATGATTTAAAAAACCTGTTATTCAATTTTTGACATGATCTAAAAAACCTCTTATAATAACTATTCAAACGCAATCTCAGAAAGGGGCAAGAAAGAAACACTGCTTGATAAAAAAGCCTGTCAAAACCACTGTGGTGCAGGATTTGATTCAAATGGACTCTCATTGTCCTTGTGAAAGCGTTATTTAATTTTTTTTAACCAGTGATAAATAAAAACATTGATTTCTTGATAGGGGGTTGATTTCAGTACTTTTCATAGTGCAAATCATGTTTTACGTGAAACTTTGGAGCGAAACGTACATCAGGAAGCTTGAATTCGTACCTTGTCTAGAAGCCTGTTCCACTTTGGTACTGTTCATTAGAATTTGACCCCTACCTTTGAAGAGACTGCATGGACTTTTCAAATGTTCAACTCTTAAATACCTACTAGCCTATATTACAGTGACCCAATTTAACGTTCAGGTAGAACGGATTACGATTAAGTTCAGTCTTTCCTGCACAATTGGATCCTGATAAATTGAAAAAAATCAGCATTCAGCATTTACCTGTGGGGCTTCAGAGTGTGTCACCGATAAATCACAACTTTTTGAGGGAGAACATGTTCCAGCAACGTCAGATTCCATTCTAGTCTCTTCAGTACTCTCCATTTTGTAAAAGACCTCCTTTTCCTTTGGCATTTCTCCACTTTTGAGTGAGCTACAATCTTTTTCACTAAGGGTATCATCTGAAAGAAAACAAGATCAAAAATGCTTGATTATACTTATGATTGGAAATGAGCTATTGATTTTGAATGACACTTTTGAGAAAAACAGCAAAGTTGATTGCGGTAGGGAAAACAAATTGTAAAAGATAGAACTGAACTTCGATTTGACAAAATTTATGAGCTCACACTCACGACTATCTGCCACTAACTGAGACGTTTGGTAGCTAATAAATGTCTAGATGACAAAAATTTATGATTTCTTTGAGTCTATACAATAAGAGCCTGAATTTAGAGGGAGCAAAAAAATATTAGCAATTTACCTAAGTTGAAAAATAGGTATTAAGGTTCTGCCTAGAGTGGTCTTACGTTTGAGGTGGATCTAAATGACATAGTTACAAAAATTACCACTATTTTCTACTACTTTATAGCTGGTGTCCATGAGAAGCAATTATTACAGAAATCAACCTTAATTATGTTAAAGAATGAATCTTAATATGTAGCAACAATAATGCCAAGTATTATGACGTCAAATTTTTGAAGATTTATAGAGAATTTATACCAAACTTCAGTGAGATGGGTGTTGTCCACCAAAATAATGGGTAAGAGAGAGACAGCGTTATGATACGTAAATGAATCTGGATATGAACTTTATATAAAAATCTCCTTCACACCAAAAGTTAAATCATTGTGTATTCTGGTGTATATCTGGTCGGTAAAGTGCAATCTCAGTCATTAAAACAGTGTTTTGGGCTATGAGAGCAGCAGTCTGATGCTAATTGAAAATGTATACCTTTTACAGCACCGATTTGAATATTTGAATATTCACTTTGCTGCGATGCACTTTGATCTGCTGTGAAAGGTGGTTCTGGAGAGGCACAATTCTCTGAAGCGTCTAACCATTGCCTTAATCTAGCTCCAGTGTCCTCAGATCTCTCTTCGTAAGCCTTTGAATCGTCTGCGTCCTGATCAAAGTGTGTGGGAATAAGAATGTGTCTCATGTCTCCTTCTGACATATGAGACTCGTCGATCACAGACGAAGTTGCAACGCTGGCTAAACCTGAAATAAATCAGGGAATACTGTTAGGCTCTATAATAATCATTCTTAGAACTGAAAAGCACTGTTTTAACCCTCCAAGACATGGTTTTACTTATTTGTAACAACACTTCTATGATTTTTCAAAAATTGAATTACTTACATAATCTTTTGTGGCATGATGTTGTAAATTTTTTATTAATTTTTTTTTCTTAAAATACTGATTACCGAAAGTTTTAAATTTTAAGAAAAAAATTTGGGACTCAATGTTTTTATGGAACCAATGAGCTATAGATTTATCTCCCTTAGAATCTGAGGCCCAAAGTTAATTGATGCTAATGGGGGTAACATCAATGTAAAGTTTTAGGAGTCATTTTAATTTCCAAAGATTTTTATGTACTAAACTTTAACTTTTTGTAAAAACGACATTACTGCCCCTCATTTATTTCATTTTTAACTTTCTTTTATAGATGCAGATTCACGGATACCTATTAAAATTGAACTTGAAAATTCTCATGAGTATTGATCCATAAAGCGCCCCTCTTGCGGTCTGAGCATTTGACTCTGGGACACCCTGTATGGGACAACTCAACATGATTTGGTATTAAATTACTTTGAAATTAATTTCTTCTTAGTTTTCAAGTGCAACAAAGAAGCAGGAGTGTTTTCTTTGGGTCAAAATAAGACTTTTTTCTTCCCACTATTTTTCCCAAAAGTGCCCACTATCAGAACTATGGCCTCCAAAATTTTTGGAAAAATTATCTTTTTTTTTTTTTTTTTTTTTGTAGGTACACCAACAAACAGAAGTAAGTTTTCACTTATTGCTGGAGCTTGATGAGATGAAAAACTTTGGGGCAAATTTTTCGAGTAAGAATAAAATACGCTGAACTCACTGATGGATCGTTGAATGGAAAATTTGAATTGGGAATTATTGGCATGGATTCGACTCTTCGTAAGCATATTTTTTGATACCAAAACCTCCTTCAATTCTTTTGGCTCTGAGAGAAGTAGCTGATGCAGAGTTTCCAAAGAGGCCGTGACAACATTACTATCGCTATGACCACAATAATGTAGGCATAACTCATAAATCTGGAAAATATGAAGTTAACATATGAGCCAAATGATAAGAGATCATTTTGAAAGAAACAACAGGTAGGCACCTAAGTTTCTTGAACACAAGTCTGAAAAAAGTATTCTTTATTCATGAGCTAATAATAACTCATACAGGATGTTTATTATTTAATTTCGGATTTTTCTTATTTTTTCTGATATTTTGAAATTTATACGAAATTTATACATGTTTTGGGTCAATAAATTGCTACTTGTATAATTTTACAAACAAAAATATTTAATGAATTGCATCTAATGTATCACCTTAAGGAGAAAGACAATGGTGGTTCGAAATTTAATATTTTCTTGATCAGAAAAAAAGAAAAAATAAGAAACAATTTACCTGAATAAATCTATCTACAGGAATAATTGCGTTGTTTGGTGTAAAACTGGTCGATGATCTAGGTTTTAATAAAAAATCAGGTTCAGAGGCAGCTTTGATACTGACTAGGTGAGGTAACAGGTAACGGACACAGGTAAGAACTCCTAAAAGCAAAGCTGGATTCTGGTTTGACTTGATAGGAACAACACATTCTGAAAAAAGAAAAAGAAAACAGAATTTGTCATGGATTACAAAAGAAGACAAAGTGTCACTCACTTACTGCAGGACACCAATTTCAAGTACAGATTAGGGTCCTCGGTCCTACCTTAAAGGAAAGATCAAGTTGTTCTGAAGAATGATACTACTTATCAATATTACAATCAAATAAATCATGCAGTAAGATTTGAATTTTTCAGTTCATTGATTATTTTCTTTTAACAGATAACTAGCTTTGCATTGTTCTTATTGCTTATTATTACCTGCTTTTTACAACATCAGAATTTCTAGGTGGATACTAGTTATACTTTGGATTGAAAGTAAAGTGGCTATGATACAATTTAAAATTGGAATTCAATATATTTTAAAATTCTGAAACTTTGAAAAGGGATGAACCTAAGTAGTATTTAGTTCATTTAAGAAGGTGGGGCCATTTCTGATTTTGCCCCGACCAGCAGATATCTCAAATTCAAGATGGTGGACAGCAAATTTTGTATTAATTTTGAAATGCTGCATCTCAGCACAAAATGAATCAATTTTGCTCAAATTGTTTTTTTGTTTCATGGCTTTATGGATAAAAAATAATTTTATACTATACGGAGGAATTTATGATATTGAAATACATACTATTAAAGGTTTGATATTCGATCAATTTCACAGAGAAGAGACTAACAATTAAAAAAGAAGGTTTTACCTAAAAGAGCATTGAGAACATAAGAGAGAAACATAGATGGTTTCCGCGAGTGGAGACAAACATCTACAATACTAAGAGCAGCCGTGCGGCGAATAACAGTTTCTTCACAAGTCAAATTGGTAAAAAAAGATCGCAGTAACATCTGAAATCAGGAAAACAAAATTCCCCGCAAAGGAAAAAACAAAAAATAAAATACATCAGTGGTATAAAAGATGAGTTCTTAAGTCAAATGAAATTAAATACTGATCATCGTATCATGAAACTTCCAAGAGGTTTCAGAGAAGGTGAGTAATTATTTTTATTCTTTATACAGTAAGAAACATGGTCAAAATTGTTTCATGCAGAGGTCCAAGCTATTTCTTTGAAAGCTTGCCTTAAAGGGGGAGGGATGGGGAATGGAGGCTCAATTGCTGCAATCTTCATGAGGGACTATCTAAAAATAACCATAAGATACAAAGTACTATAAAAATCTAAATATTGAATTCCATGTACTAAAAAGGGATTCTGCAAAATGAAGAGTTCGTTTAGAAGACTCAGACAAGGATCTTTTCCCCTAAAATTCTCACCTTCTTCCTCTAAGAGTGATTCAGAAATTACATCAATCATTGTCAAAGAGCTTAACGCTGAATGCATGTTCATGATTTAACCTTTTGACTTAAAGCGACGGATAAGAGCTGTGCTTGGCCAGTTTCGGACCAATGGCTCAAAGTTGTCAGTCAACTTGGCATCAATGTTTATGGTGCATCAATGATTTGCTATGGATGATGTTCTTGTCAATGTTCATATGAGTAGTAAGCCCAACTTAAAACTTATTTGGTGTGGAACAGTTTGCTTCGTTATCATATTTTTTGGCAGTTAAATAATGACCTTAAATTTTCCTGATTGACAGTGATGAGTCAACAATGTAAAATGATTGTACCTAAATTATCTCTTTGTTTCCTCAAGGAACCTGTGACGAATACTTATTACTCCAATTTCCGACCTCAGGCGAAGATTTTGAAGCGTTCAGCGTTACTAATACCTGCATATTACAATACTAATTCTAGGTGCAGCAGGGTCAAATTAAATCATAAATCAATGAGTTCTCATTATCCGCTTAAAAAGTGTTGTCATTTGACAATTTTACATTTATTGCAATTACCAACTAAAAAAGATGAGAATCTATGATTATGATGCTTACTTCTTCATACTTCTGCTCACGTTTTAATAAATTAAAACTTTATGCTAATGCATTGAAAATTAAGCTGTAAACAGGAGGTTTGAATACAATTGATACCTTGATATCACTATCTGTTGTGAAGATACCGAGAGCAGCTAATATTTTTGGAATCGAGCTAGCAAGTGTTTCTAGAACAGCTTCTTCTCTACGCCTCGCAATTTCAATTAAGCATGGCAACGTATTTTGCACATAGGTTCTGCCTTTCTGTGGTCTGAAATGAAAAAGTGTAAGCAATCTAAGTACGGAAAACGCAGATGAAATATATTTTCAGGAAAGAATTCAAAAAATTTAGAACTGCTTGATACCTATTTTACTTAACGTCATTAAAAGAAAAGTAAGGCAAAAAAATTCACAATAGGAGGTTGTTTTGAAATCATCAGTTGACTTGACATTGATGTTGACAATGATTTTGACATTGATGGTTCTGTAGTGGCCTGAATAAAACTGACCAAAAAGTTCAAAAGCAAACAACCCCAATAACCGGAAACTATGTTGGACATTGTACATATACTTAGAGATCAAAGTTGAATCAATCTTCAAAAAATTTCAATCAAAACAAAAAATACTGGAACTAATGAAGTTCTCATACGAACTAGATGTGCATATAATCTGCCACTAAACTTCAACTAAGGTAGGTTTTATAGGTGTGAGTGATATAGGTAACTCAACAATTATTTGATATGGTAGTCCATTGCTTTGTAATGGTATTTTTATTTAATTGTGTGGATGAACATGAAATGATGTAAGAGATATAAGAAAAATTCAAAATAAAAAAAGTTATGTTGTAAATTTTAAATAAAATTTTTTTAGGTAGGTAAAAAAGTTTGAATCAAGAGTCAATTTAGAACTACGAGAATCATTAGTTTAGTTCAAATTCAGTTCAAATTCAATATTCAAAGAGTTCACAGCTCTAGTTCATCAAAGATCAAAGATGAACGGTTTCTGTCAGGAAAACCCGTCTATTTCATTTTATGAACAAGATACTCACCTTATATTGTGAGCAAGCTCTGCAAATCTCCACAATGCTGCCCTTAAAGAGTGTGGTTTTCCATTCTTCTTGATTTCTTTATGCAGCTCGACCATCACTTTCATGCAATGCGAGTCTAACAATGACTGCAATTTGGGTAGAAAAATGATACATTTTTAGTACATTTAGGTGTACTTATAAATTTAAAAATATATTCAGAACTTTTCCAGGGATAATGTGAAATAGTAAACAATAGACGTTTCAGGATTAATATCTTGCTTTTTTAACTTCTTTTTCTTTTACTAACAATAAGACCAGCTAATAAGAGGAAAGCTTTGGTGTGTAAAAAATAATTTACAATATTAAAATTATGAACAGTCTGCTTCTTAACAATACCAAAAAAAAAAAAAAGGTGAAGTTGATTTAACATTCTGGATGTAAAAAAAGTGTACGAGAACTCATGAAATTCTGAATTACCGGTCACAGCAATTAGTTTTACATCTTGGCATGCTAAAGTAATTGCTGTAGCAGGTAATTTAGCATTTTACAAGTTCTCGCACACTTTCTTTCCATCCAGAATCAACCCCACTTTTTTTTCGGTGTAAAATTTAGAGGGACTTTCTCTCAGTTGGGTCAACACCTTAACATCCCCAAAATTTCGCGAGGGTGTAGAGACAGAGTAAGTTCTAACTTTATACCTTTGCAGAGGTGCATAAATTTCCAAACTTGTGACCAGCTAATTTTGTAGCTGCAGTGTGGCGTTTGAATGAGGAAGAAGACCGATTTTTGGAAGTTTTTTTTCTTCATCTTCTAGGGGAAGTCGTCATAAATTTGCCTTCACAATGAGCAAAGATTAATTGAATTTGGGAGAAAGCTTGGCACTTTCTGCACCCCTGTGCCTGTGGCCTAATTTCTTCAACTCCATTCACCATTTTCAATTTTCCTTCTGAACAAAATGCAGATATTACAAGAAAATATGATCACCAAAATGCTTCATTCTGTCAGTTTGAAGCTCAATGGTACACCACAATAATTCTAAAAGTATGAAATATGAATGCAAGTTGGTTGTCCCGTAGCTCATTAAATATTTGATTGGCGAAAAATGAAAAAAATTTAGAATTGAGTTACGGCGATATCGATTTCGATGGTAGAAAGCGTTTTTTAGCCATTTTTATTAATTAAGTGTTTAGATACATACCCTGATGATTCGGTTAAGACTTTCATCAGCAACCAGCCGAACATGAGAGTCCACATCATCACAGAGTTGGAAAAGAGCTTCAAACGAGTTACTGAGAATATTTCCAGATTTGGACGAATCTAGATTGGAAGGATTCTTCATGTTTGACTGACAAAGTGCATCTGCAATTGCCACACATGATGCTATCTTCTCCTTACGTCTGAAACAAAAAATAAAATGAGATATTTTCTTAAATTTTGACTCTCAACTATATGCTTTTTAATTCATGCATAAGAGCCTCTAATGAAGCCATAGTACACGTCCGATTTACATACTCCGTCCAAAAGGCCTAGATGCAGATAATTAAAAACAGGTGAGGAATAAAAGAATAATTCAAGTAGCCAAAAACTCTTCCAATTTATAAAAAGCACTATCAAGAAGAAAAGCGAGTAGTCTCTTGAGGAAGAATATGAAGTTGGCACTTTGGAAGTAGTGCTTGACATTCCAGGGTACTTAAGTAAACTTGGTTTGGGCATCATCCCTCAACCAAAAAAAAAAAATACCTATTGCCAAGCTCATGACATAGCTTTTCATTTGAATGATAAAGATTGAGGATGTAAAATAGTTTGATAGTAAATTTTAGGATTTTGTGATACAATTTGTTAACAAAATTACGAAAGATAAATATAAGTCGTAATCGGAACACCTGTTGCCACATCATGACTAGAATTTGCTGGTAACATTAAATGAAAAAGTCCTACAGTATGCTACACATTTCAGTCATTTACATTCTACCATTGCAGCATTTCCTCGAGACTTGTTAACCGTATGCATCATTTTGTAATTTGATGATTACAGTGGATGTCTTGAGGGTCCACAAAGGGTTGAATTGTTCATTTATTTTAACAATTCCAACCACAAAGTCATGGTATATTACTGTAGTTCAATCAAATAAGAATGGATCAAACTGCACACTTTCCTTGAATTAAGATAAAAAATTAGATAGAATACATAAAACCTCTGATTCTATAAAACAGAAAACGCAACAGAGGCTTAATTGGGATTGATTGGAATATCGTTGCCAAAGATGTGGTACGTCCAAATTTTAGGATAAAAAAATGACTAGAGAGAATGCAAGCTGAAACATACCTGCTAACAGACTCATCGGGTTGACTAGTGTGGATAATTTTTAAAGCTTCGACAGCTTTACTGAGGGCTTTTTCAATATTTGACATGGCGCCCTGTTAATTACAAGAGACGCGATCCACCAAAAACTTGCATATCCTGTTCTATTTACACATCAGAAAGCAAAACAAATCAATAACTGTCACATTTTTATAATTGAATAAATGAGAAATTGATTATGAACTTTTTCTTCCAGGGATACATAATCAAATCAACAGAAGAAATCCTAACCTCTCGGCAGATGGTTGATGCATTTGAGCGAGGGATGTTGATCAGCAACGTTGCGATCGTATAATCATGTAAAAAGTTAGGTTATTATGTTTGTTTTGGTAAACGGTGCGTGATTGTAGAATAGAATTTCCATCTAATGAATTAGGTAAATGTGTTTCATTCGGAATGTCTGATTCCAGTAAAGCCAAAATTTATTGGGGAGGCAAGACAGTCCACCAAAATAGCGACACATATTGGAATAAATATCCCCTGAAACCTGGGGAGGAGCTGTGCGAGGTGAGTAACCAGCAATGTTTAGGGGTCCGAGGCGCCAAACATTTTTTTCACACCCTCACCATCTTTTAATTCCACGATATTTACTGTCAGCCTTAGTTTTCAGCTGTTGAAAATACGAGATCTTTGTTTTCTAAGCTGATCTCAAGTACTTAACCATACCTATTTAGGTTGTGGCTAGGAGCTCGACCGTGGAAGAGCGGGAAATGGTGACAATATTGATATCAATACTGTCACAAACACTTGAATTAATCATGGACTTTCTTCAGCTGCTAATGAAATAAATGTTTTGAAGATATGGTCATTTCAGAAAGGCAAAACCTTATAAATACCCTGCATAGGAGTCTAATTTTCTTTGTGAAGGCCTAATAAGCAGTGTATCTGGTTCTCTTTCTGCAAAGCTGCTGTTGTTTTGTAGCCTTAGATGATTTTAAATCCTATTTGAACTCCACAATAAGGTGTGGTCATGATGGACAACAGGCCTCAATGGATATTACCCGGCGACAGCGTTGCAAGTTTGACGATCATTCTTGAACCTGCATTGAGATGACGCTTCTAACCCAGTGACTGTCATAGTGGTTCACCGCAACAGTGCAGCACCGTTTGCGGTTGGTGAATGGAGCATTGAGGAGGTAGATAAAGTCTAGGGTCAATAGTTAAGCTTCAGTTGGACAACGGGCAACTCCTCCGGTCAATTCACCAAAACCACATATACCAGTTTTGAGCTGTCAAGAAAAAAAAAATAAATAAAAAAAATTTAAGGGAGATGGCTGTGGTCAAAGTTGTTCAATGTTTTTTGTTAATATAGGTACTGGTAACCAAGACAACTCACTCGAACAGAGCCTTAACTCATAAGTAAACTCTTTACTTACCCAGCATATACCAATAATGAGACAAATGGTAGTCACTCAATGAGAAAACTACTGTTTAAGAAAAGTTTTATAGCTCTTTACTGAATAAATTGCTGCAAGCCATCAGTAAGTATTGAATCGGACCATCAAATTTGTTGGCCGTTTACCTTTGTGAAACGGAATTATTTACCTATTTTAAGATGCTTAAATGGGTTCGTTGATTTCTTGTCAAAACTTTTGTACTATGTTGTTTTTTTTCTCTTTAGACGGATAGTGGAAGTTTCTACAACCCTCTCCACTCAGATGAAGAGAGATGGCACACTAAAAGAAGTGGAGAAAGTAGCGATGAAGAAAGGCAGAAAAAGAAGAAAAAGAGGAAGCATAGGAGTGATGAACCTAGCAAAAGGAGCAGACATAGTAGTAAAGAATCTAGCAGAAGAAGTCGGCATAGCAGTAACGAGCTTAGCAAAAGAAGTAAGCATACCAGTGCGGAACGTAGCAAAAGACGTAGGCTGAACAGTGAAGAACACAAAAAAAGAATTAGGCATAGCAGTGAAGACCGTAGCAAAAGAGGTAAAGAGAGTAGTGAAGAACGCGGCAGAAGAAGTAAATATAGTAGCAATGATGAAAGGCCAAAAAAGAAGGAAAGAAGGAAGCATGAAGACAAGCATGAGGACAAACCTAAACAAAACAGAAGTCACCGGCAAGAAAAACCCAAGAAAGCAAAGGAAGAACCAAAAACCATTGATACCCCCAAAGAGGTTATCACAGAAGATCAAAAGAAAACAGTCGATTTGCTAACATCCAAGACAGGTGGTGCCTATATTCCGCCAGCTAAGTTGAGGATGATGCAAGCTAGTATAACTGATAAAGCAAGGTATGATTATTATTTTCCCTTAAAACTTTTTTTATTTCTTTTAGCCTCTTGAAATGAGATCCTGTTAGGCAGAATGCCTCTGTCACAATTTCATGCGATAGTGACGGCTCTATGAGCTTTTGAACCTTCAAAAGTAATCAATAAGCATAAAAACCAATGCAAGAGATATATCAATGGTCAAAGTGTAAAACCATACATATCCTTTGCGGTGTTTTAAAATTTCTGTTCCTATTTTATTTTTTTGAAACAAAACAAGTCAACTTTATGGTTTAAAATTCATACAGAATACGTATTCTATTAATAAAGAAGAAAAATCAAGGAAGTTTTCAAGAAATAACACTGACTAGTTTTCCAAAGAAAAAATAAAGCATGACAGGAGGTCTGCAGCCTCGTAAACGGAGATGCAAAATCAATTTCGCTAATTTACTTATAACAGTTTGATAATTTCTATTTCATTTACTCTCTATTTTTTAGGTATTAATGATGAATCTTCCTGAACAAATGTTTCAAGATAAAAGAGGATTTGTTACTTGTATGCGACGAAATTCAAAGTGAAGGCTTCTTATTTTTTTAACTTTTGCTATTTATGTGACCGTATCTTTTATATGTTCTAGTGCTGCGTATCAACGAATAGCATGGGAAGCCCTAAAGAAATCTCTTCACGGTCTAATCAACAAAGCCAGTCCTCAGAATATTTGTATAATTGCGCGGGAAATTTTGCGAGAAAATATTATTCGTGGTCGTGGATTACTCTGCCGATCAATAATTCAAGCTCAGGCTGCATCACCAACATTCACCAATGTTTTTGCTGCACTTGTAGCAATTATAAATTCTAAGGTAAATCGATTTCATGTTCAACTTACTTTAAAATGCCCTTCTACAACAGCAGTAGCTAACAGTTGGTTTGTGATCCAGCATAATACTGCTACCCTCCAATGCCACCCTCCAATGCCTAAAAAAAGAAAAAAAGGTTGATGATTATTTGGCTAGAGAAAGATATTGAAAGGAGTAAGTATCTAGGATCTGCAGCACTAAAGGATTAGAAATTTCTGTAAATGGAAGAATATAGAATTGAAGAAAAAAAAATAGTGTTCTGAAATTGAAGTTAGATATGCATAGCTTGAGTAACACACAAATACCCAGTCAACAAGTTTTTGTCAAAAAAGAAGAAGAAAATCATAGCTTTTCTCATTCAGTTTCAAGTTTTATTTTTTGTCTTTGGCTTCAGTATTGTTAACTAAAACTCAGTCTTGTACCCTCATTTCAGTTTCCTAATATTGGAGAGCTGCTTTTGAAAAGGTGTATCATAAGGTTTAAACAAGGCTTCCGAAGGAATGATAAACCCACTTGTCTTGCTGCAGCAATATTCATCGCTCACCTAGTCAATCAGTGTGTGGTAAGTATCAAGTATGTACTTAGTTTGCTTTTTAATCCCCAGCAAAAGGTATTGCAATGAATGCCTTCTTTTTGGTGATCTTATCTCTGAAATTACAAGTGATCAAAATTCATCGGGTTAGCCGTTCTTATGATGAGATGATCCTTTCATTACAAATTTGTAGGATAGAACATAGGTTTAAGAAATTAGCACCTTAGAATGTTAGTCATTTGTCAATTTTGTCTGTGGCAGGGGTCTATTTTAAGTACCAAAAATCCTAAATCTTCATAAAATATGAAACATAGTAAGCAATACCACAAAATAGAAATTCAATTTAATGAAGGTAAATCTTCAGATCTCAGTGTGATCCTTCATTTTGCCGAATTTGCTATGGAAATTGCACCTCTCCTCTGAGTTTCATTCTTGGCCCAGCCATGCACCGGTTTTTATTATAAAATCCTAGCTTTTACTCCCATGGTGGTTTATTTATTATCGCATGGTTAAAGTTTTCCAATAACTTCTCTAAATCATCCAACGACAGTCTCCCTTCGAAACACTATTGTGACAAAAGTCCCTATCCTTTGACAAGTAAGAAAAAATGCCATAACGTTTTTTTTGAACCCTCCTCTTTTCATCGTCAAACTTCCAAAATTTGTATTTTTAACATGTTTTGTTGATATGAAATAGTGTGTGTGAATTTCTTCATCTGCCCTTCTTTATTTCTCTGTCATGTTTATTTTTCAGTCAGTTAGCGATGAAATCATCATGAGCATTAAAATTGTATTTCTTTATTTTGAAGTGAATTCAGTGGTGACTCTATATTCTGTTCCAGGCCCACGAGATTGCAGCTCTAGAACTTTTAACTTTACTTCTGGAAACGCCAACAAATGACTCTGTAGAGGTGGCAATCGCATTTTTGAAAGAGTGTGGTCAGAAGCTCTCAATTGTCTGCAAGAGAGGTCTCGATGATATATTCGACCTGTTGCGCAACATTTTACACGAAGGATCTTTGGAAAAAAGAGTATGCTTCATTATTTTACATCAACTTAAAATTCTTTACAAACTCTCGTTTTGCGTTGCCTTATTTTTTGGGTTTTTCCAGAAGTGTGTGTTTTTAAAGGAGAAAACCACAAGAGAATCGAATTGTACCCCGGACGGACAATAACTAAAGATGAACTATTTTCAGTAAAAAAATATATGCTCAGTGGGGCTCTTTGTGTCATATATTTTAAAAACATTTTTGACAGTCTGATAATGCACTCGTTTAGTTGTATGTTTTGAAATTCCATGGAAGCTGCTGATGCCTCCATTGATAGCAACCCTAGTGACGATGGACCTTTTCACAGATTTATCAATCTAGCTTTCTCTCGCCTGATCTCTATGCATAAATACCTCTTTCTAAAATCCAGTTTAAGACTTCGAGATATATTCCGCTGAGTATCTTGATGCATCTGTAAAATTATGAGAGTTTACATCTGCAAAGAAATTTTAAAGAAAAACCACGTACCACTATTTTCTGAATGGAGTAGAGATGATAGCACATGTGATAATTGTTTGTTAGTTCTCATTTTCTGTTTATTTTTTGAATTAGGTCCAATACATGATAGAAGTCATGTTCCAAGTTAGAAAGGATGGTTTCAAGGATCACCCAACAATACCTGAAGAGTTGGATCTTGTAGAGGAAGAAGATCAATTTACCCATGTACTTAGCTTAACAGAAGATAAGCTAGAAGGTCAAGAAATCCTAAGTGAGTATAAATAAAATGAACATACTTGTATTTTACTCAATTTTACTATGTAACACCATTGCTGATGTAATATATCTACACGTTGTTATGGCAATGCATTATCATGAATTAGAATCATGCAGCTGATAATGGAGTAGCTTTCTCGTTTAAATTTTAATTCGTTTCTCCTTTGGATTTTCTTTAAGTAAAATTCTGAGATAATCTTGTCGTCAACGTAGCAACTAAAGCGTGCCCCATTGAGGTGACCGATTTGAGTGTTGACATTTGCTAGCTATGAAAACTTGTGTTGCGAACTCATGAAAGTTAGTTTTATCCAACATCACGTTTTTGTCATCATCATTGTCCCTGTTGATGAAGATAAAGAGAGCCAGATTCCAATATTTGAGGTGATTTACCAGTTCTTAGGAATATATTTCAAGTATCATTGGCACCCTATCTTCACAATTTACTTTGTGTCATTGATGTGGCTAAGAAAAACGTTTGAACATGTTTAGATCGTATCTATGACTCAAAAACTATTTCCCCAAAAAACGCTTATTTTAAAGGAACGTTTTGAGATCGAATTTTCCTTCATGGAATAATCTGGTACTGTTTGCATCGGATTTTAATTATTTACTGGCTACTTTGCAAGAGAAAAGCTAATAACAAAAATATTTTGCTTTCATCCCACCGACAAAATATGCTTGCAATGTCCCATGAGGCAGTGCAGAGCTTATGGTCTCAGAGTACTATCATACTTGCATGTCATTGCCCCAGTGTTTTAGATAGTTGTTGGAGGGTCTAACAAGGCACCGAAACTAATAAAATAATGTATAGAAACCCCATATGTTTACTACTGTTGTATTACTATTATTAAACGAATTGTCAGTTTTCCATCCAGGTTTTTTTTTCTCCTAATTGGTTGCCTGTCTTCTTTTTTTTTCAGACGTATTTAAATTTGACCCTGAATACGAGGAAAATGAGAAGAAGTATGAAAATCTCAAGAAGGAACTCTTTGGGTCTGATGATGAATCTGGAGAAGAATCTGGAAGCGAAGATGAGAGTGGGTCAGATGATTCAGATGACTCAGAAGCTGGTGAGTTATAAATTGGACTTATGTAATGACTTCATCAATATATTTTTGTAAACAGTTATTTAAAATGTACTTTAGTTGTGATGTCTCAAAATTTCCATTCAAGTTTTTTCCCCTCCATCAAAAGAGTAAATAATACATAGTACCTTGTCGGTTTTCAAAAATTTCTTGAAGTGAAATCTATTTTAACCAAAGTTAGCTGTACCTACAAAAAATATCTCAAAAATTAATTTAGGATTATTATTGTGCTGTATAATGCAGTGTGAGGCGCCATCATTAATCGCACAATTTCAGAAATATTTTTTATCTTTTCTTTGTGATTTCGTTTCCCCATAATTTTCACGTATTATTTGTGTTTCAGCGGAAGAAAAGAAGCAGACTATTATAGATAACACAGAAACCAATTTAGTCGCACTTCGCCGGACAATTTATTTGACAATAAATTCATCTCTTGATTTTGAAGAATGTGCACACAAGTTATTGAAAATGGAGCTCAAGCCTGGACAAGAGATAGAAATGTGTAACATGTTTTTAGATTGTTGCGCTGAGCAGCGTACTTACGAGAAATTTTATGGTCTCCTAGCAGAGGTAAGATATATTCTTTTTATTTTCTTGATTAATAGCATAATGACTCCTACCAAGGTAAGTGACTTTCAATCCGAGATAAAGACTCTTTCAGAGGTAAATAATGTCTACCTCAAAAAATGAAATGTCAGTCAAAATATGTATTATTTTATCAAAATCTCAGTCAATCTGAGTAAAAATTGTATCAGGGTTACTTATTATTTAATTGTGATTATTTTTTTGTTGCAGCGTTTTTGTCGGATAAATCAAATTTATGTTGCACCATTTGAGAAAATATTTGTTGACAGCTACGCCATTGTTCATCGATTCACCACAAACAAGCTGCGAAATGTCGCAAAATTTTTTGCTCATCTTCTCTTTACGGATGCTATATCTTGGAATGTCCTGTCCACCATTCACCTGAATGAAGAAGAAACTAGTTCGTCCAGTAGAATTTTCATAAAAATTTTATTCCAAGAGCTGTCAGAGTTCATGAGTTTAGCCAAATTAAATGACCGTATCAAGGATCCGTAAGTGCTTTTCTTTTTTTGTCTTGTTTCGTTTATTTGTAAGAAATGGACCATTTATCAATTTACGTAACTAAATTTTTCACTTGTACACCATGATAGGAGGAAAACAAGTACGGACATTGAACAATTCCTTCTCCGATTGACTTGTCTAACTCATATGCCACAGGTCTTGTGAGAGGCTTGTGTACAGGAGCTCTATTAATGTATCGGTAAGAGATGGGCAGACTCATATTTGTGTAAATGAGTTTTGTCAATGTGTTCGTGAGATAAGCTCCGACTGCTGTGTCACAACTCAAGGACGTATTTCCCATGATGCTCCACAGCAGTTGCTGCGTTCCTCTAACATACTTATATACCAGTTTTATTTTTTTGTGATAACAGAAGTTGAAATTAAGTTTTATCAGGGTCTCTGGCAGTCTGAAAAACCTGGGAATTCAGGGAATTCGTGGCGACTGAGGAAAATCACCGAATCAGTGGGAAAAGTTAGGGTATTCCGCTAGCAGCTAGTTTGCTCAGTAACTTCAACTGGAGCCTTTTGAGAGAGCGCAAAAAACTTCTGAGTACATACTTCTTTCTATGATTTGAATACCTAGAAGAAGAAATTTTTTCAACAGTCTAGCAAAAGGCAGAATACATATGTAAAAGAGAGGAAAGTCAATTGGAAGTCTTGTTTGAAGATCAGGGACGGCCAGAGGATTTTGCACTTTTAGAGGAAAAGAAGAGAAAGTCAGGGGAATTCAGGGAATCGGAAAATAAAGAGGTAATAAAAATCCTACTTATATATTAAATTCTTTTGAACTGACATCTAAGTATTAGAAGTCATATTAAGATGTTAATTTTTTTAAAATTAATTTATTTTTTTTTCTACTGAAATAATACTTTATGTTCTTGCTACATAATTGAATTGAACTAATAGAGTTTGTAAATTTTCTTGTTCCAGGACAATGCATTTGGCATTCGAAGGTCTGTTCCCAAGAGATAATCCAAAAAACACTCGCTTTGCCATCAATTTTTTCACATCCATTGGTTTAGGAGGACTAACGTAAGTATTTTCTGTTTTGTTGTGTGCACATAGTTCTCATGTATTTTAAAACATATTTTTACAGTCTTATTTACAAATGCAATTTTTATTTGTGGAATCAGAAAGCTTTTAATTTTCAAATTTTGTCTACTGCGGTGCTAAAGCGCCATCCGCTTCACAGGATCACCAGGAAAGAGCGGAAAAAATATTTGAATTTCTTATTGAACCATATCCTGAGGCAAGCTTTTTAATACTTGAAAGTTTCTTGAAAGTTTTCTTGCAATTTTGAGAAGAGTAACAAATTAATTACCTCATAAATGTGGTATTTATGACACTATAAACACAAAAAAGCGAATCTTATTTGTGGTGTTGTTTGGTGTGTTTTGAAATTTCCGCTTTCGTTCTATTTGATCAAAGGAGAATGAACCAATGTCATTATTTGATACTTGAAATGTTCACAGTTTAATGTTAACACAAAGCGCAAAAATCAGGGAATTAATCAAGAAATGACGTTGAGTATTTCTCCATTTAGCAAATAAAACGAGGCAGGAAGTTTGCAGAGTCGCAAACCAAGATGTATGTTCCTCTGTCAAAAGTTTCACCATCCAAACAGATTTCGGAATCCAAATCTGATTTTGGAAAATGCAATTATTTTGGAATCACAACTTACGACGAAAAAGTAGGGCTACCAGCTCTGGTATGACAGTGAATGTGGGGAAATTAATTTTGAAATATAATTTTGTATCCTCTTATCCTTCTCAGCCCTGATAATTTTGAAGTACATGGTTCTCTTATTTTTTTTCAGGAATGAGCTTCGAGAGCATCTGAAAGCGCAACCGAAGCAATCGAATGTAAATAAAATTATGGAGGCCCTCTCAGCCTCGAGTTCTTCATCATCATCTTCAACATCTGATTGCGATTCTGATTCCAGTTCTTCTTCAAGCTCATCTGATTAAGCTTGATTTCTACATCTCTCTTTGAGAGAGCGTGATTTTCCTTCTCTTTTTTTAACCTAATTTTGGATGAAAGTAGCCGAATAAAATGTGTGAAGTTAAATGATAACCAGAATAAATCAGTGGGAGAAAAAATCTGGAAGAGGTCAGATTTAACGGAAATTAGCCCAACTGCATTGCATGTTGCCTAAGCTCTCTTGTTTTGTTTGATTAAACTTAAAATTCAATAAATCATTGCCTTGAAACTCTATGAAAATTTCTGATAAATAATGAAAAAAGTATGCACCAAATTTTAGGACAGAATGTTACTTACAGGGTTGCCAGAGTCAGGGAATATCGGAACAATCAGGATGTGTCAGGGAATTTTAAAAAATCAGGAAAAACCCAGAAGTAACAGGAAAAATGACAAAAGTGTTAGGGAAAAATTGTTCAGTCACCTTTACTTGCTTTATAGACCGAGTTTGAAAATATTAACAACAAATTTTGCTGGCAAACTTTTACAAATTAAGTCCTGATAATCATCCGGCATATCTTCAATTGTCAGAAAATTTTACCCCCAAGAGCCAGGGCAATGTCAGGGAACTTCAATTTCTAAAGTATGTGGCAACCCTTTTTTATGATTTCTCGTCAGAAAAGAAAAATTAGAAGAAATATTGTGGACGCCAGTCTTATTAAGCTGATTTTGGTTACTTAAATTTGTCCAAATTCTACTATTTTTAAAATAAAAAATCGGATCTCCTATCTTTGAAGATTTCAATATTGCAAGTTTGAAGTTGATTTTTTTTCATTACTATTCCTCTGTTGTGTAACTTTCACTAATTGATACGTACTCGTACGACTTTGATTCTTACAGAATTGACTTATAATAAGTTGTTAGACGAGAAAATAATAACCGTAAAAATTTCGAATAATGTATTTTATTTTATAATTTTTGGCACATGAACCGTTCTTTTCATGCTTGCATACAAGTCATTTAATAGCACTTTAAATTTTTCAATTGAGTTTTTAATTTTTGACAGCTCTCAATTATTTTATCTGCGATTTTTACGAGTAGCTCATCTTCTAACCATCCAAACCCAGGCAAGAGCTTTTTTAGCAGTCGTCATGCTCCTGAGTATACTTAAGTTCCATCAGTTTGTAACTTCTGAACATTTTTTATCTTTACTCACCACAACAGTGTCCGAGTTAAGGAAGTCTGTTTTTGAGCTCACAGAAAAGCTCACCGACTTAATCACCATTAAATTTCTACTCAGTCCCTATAACGGGAAAGGAGAGACATTCACTGTGCTGTATGTTATTACAGATAATGAATATGGTTTTATCCATATAGTAACTAAAAGTCACCGATTACTTTTGCGGTAAAATGATTTTTTTTTCTGTGATTGATCTCAGCTAATTTTGCTTGACTGTGTATATGTATGCATTAGGCTTTCTCATTGTGTACGTCATTGATTCCTTATCTTGTACAGAATTATTGCCCCCTTTTACTTTCTAGAGATGCGTGTAAATATTGAGAAATAAATTTGTATTTTCGAGGTACCCTCTGCTTGCATATTTTATCTAAACCAGTTGACCCTCAAAAGTTTAAGGTGGAGAGATAAAAACGGAAGTTCAGACTTTCTTACTTATCTCTCTGATTGGTTATCAATTCAGTTTTCAATTAAAATAATAATCAAATGGGCAGCCACAACTAAAAATTTAGAAATAGAAAAAAAATCCAGCGAATCCTGAAGAGCCTAGAGGAGAAGGGGCTATTAATGAATTACGTAATGCTCGTAATCAATAAGGTTCTTGGCGATTTTTTCCGATACCCCTTGCTGACAGTTAGATTAATTTCTATAATACCTAAAACAAACTTTTCAATTGTTCAGGCGTTTTAGACTCGATTCTGCGATAGCATGACTTTTGCTATCAACAATTTTCAGAGGAATAGATGGAAAAGATGTTTCATAGTCAGTGCAGAAAAATTAGATGAAAAAAAAAAAGTATTACTTCATCAATGTAAAATGCTTTAAGGAATTGTATGATTTATATGAAAATAATTTAGGTAAATCGAAAGGGGCTTTTTGCATAGGGTCTGTTTGCAACATAGTTCCTTTGATGGCATTTATTCGCGCACATATGATTCCTTGTCGCATAAATACCTACGTCCAAATGATAATGCATAGTGACATAAAGAAGAATCCCCATTCATAGATGCTCCTGTTCGAACACTCCATTGACTGATTTCAATACAAGGAATACAATGCAGACCGCACAAACTAGTGCATTGTTTTAGAACAATATCGAAACTACTTGCCAGTAATACTTTACAAGTTTATTCTTATATACATGAGCACTGACCACCTTTCTTTATCCGCCTTGGTTTTTTTCCTTATCAAGTATCCCCAGGAGTTGAGGACTTTTAATAATATTTATCAACACTAAAGGTCCCCTTAAAGCCACAGTTTCAGTGGGCAAACTTTTAACTTAAGGTGATTCGATGGACGCCATTTTTTGTGTCAGAGCGACGTGCGATATATCGCATCGATTTGTTCCATAATTTCAGCTACTTGTCATTCGTTTCGAATTTTGAGATCGCACTTCTGTTGTCATGAGACTGAAGAATTCTTGTACCAAATTTGATCAAGAAATTCAATGTATTAAAGGCGTGGTTTTTTCAGAGGAAAAATACCGCATTCGAGTGCAGTTTCGATATCAGTATCACCTTAATGTTAAATTTGGCAGTGCATTTTATCATGATCTTGAGTCCAGTATAAGAAGTTTCAAACTCTAAAAAAATCTAAATACCTACTTACAGCATCTAAACACTGGATTCCTGTGTCGTTCCTAATTTTCCATTCAATAGATATTTGCAGGTAGCAAACACTGCAATAAGACTATTATACTACCTTCCTACTTAAGAGCGTAGTATTAAGAAACTTGCGAGTTCAGGGATGAGATTCACCTGCATCTTAGGTACCTACCTATTCTAACCTCAAGAGTTTATTCCTAAATAGATTTATTTGACAATGATTTCCACATCCATATCGACGGCATAGTCCGCAATCACATATCTCGTTTGAAGTGTTTGAAAATCTCCGCTTCTGTTATTTTTTTAAAGGAGAGCAAATTGACATTATTCTTTGAAGTTTTTGCAGAATTCTCTTCGCACAGAGAAGGAAAATCAGGGCAGTTTTAAAGAATTGCTGTTGAGTGCCTAGTTTTCCGTTTAAAACATAAAGTATGACAGGAAGTCTGGGACGTCGCAAACCGACTTATGTGATTGCCGACTTACACCATCGATACGTATATGGGATGTAAATACTACAACCAGCTGAGGCATGATCATAAGGGAAAAATTTAACTACTTACAATTGATCAATAATCAAAATCTTTGGCTAGTCAGAACTTCACACTCGGGAAAGTAACCAGGCATTGAGTTATCAACACATTCTGTTCTTCAGGTGTTTGCTAAAATATAAATGAAGGTATGACACTTAACATTCTTTCTGAATTCGTTACTCCTGATTTAACACATTATTTTGAATCTATAAAGAAATCTGCGTCGCAATAATCTGGAGAGAATCACCGTGGACATGCATTGCTTTGTTTACAAAATAAACCATGTGTGTGCGGGTGTGCTCGTGTCGCGTGCCGCGCATGCGCCATGAGCGCTATGTGATTCATGAATGAACTATCCAAACCGGAACGGACCAATGAGAGAGCGAGAATCTGGGTCATCGTACTCGTAGTACGCTACGTAGTATTTTGTAGTAAACGTTGCCAGATCGAATGAGCGAGTGACGGGAAAAGCATTCTAAGCCGTGAAACATACTTATACGCCCGGGATTTCAGTAGGAATTTCGCGATTTCTCATCTAGCGCGCTCTGATAGCACGAAAACGGACGAAAACCAACGAATATAAAACTGGAACCCTCGCGAATTCATTACTGGCGGTATTAAAAGCGTTTTCCGCGGTATTTTGAAGATGCTGCTTTCCACTTCATGCGACGAAAATAGCTTCGCTAATCCTTTTTTTCTCTTTCTTTCTTTTTTGCTGAAAACTTTTCTTTAAGAGAACTTTAATCGTCTGTGGATAGAGTACCAACGAAAAAATGGAAAATCAAATACGTTTTTTACGATAAAAAATCATTAATTCATAATTATTCATGATCATTGGGCACTACAGTAAAACCTAACACGTTATATAAAGAGGAATTTTCTAAATTCGTACTGATTAGGATGTCTCTTGAAAAATTCAGTCAACTCACTGGGATTTAAGTTCAACCGTGTAAAAACTCCTTCAGCGAAATCGAACAACTTTTTGCGGTCACTAGCCGTTTGCCCTCTGTTTTTTCGTTTTTGTTTTTTAAATTTATTTCATAGCGTATAACGACCTCCGGTTTGCACGAAAAACGATATATCACAAAGAGGGGGGGGGGGGGGCAATTTAAACATTTTGAGTTAGCATGCGAGCCCTCCCCCCCCCCTTCGAAATTCCCGGTAGCTTCTATTGACCTAGAAGCATTCCCAAAAATTTAGTTTTGATATCTGCTTCTGCATGCGNGGGGGGGGGGGGGGGGAATCAAGGACTTTTCTCTCACCCTGTGCTGCAAAGATTTGCAAAACTGCAAATTTTGATATTTATTTCGTCTTATTATTTCAAATCGTGAGGGGTGCTTCTAGAAGAAAATTTTACGAGGAAACCAATGGAACCACTTTAAAATCTCAAAGTTTTGTATAAACGGAGTTATAAGTTTTTAAAGTTTCCAAAGTTTGTCCGACCTCCCCCATTGGCTCGATCCATTGTGCTCCGGGGACAAATTGTCGTTTCCCAGTCGAAGGAACGCGCCCTGATTCTAAGGCTGCAAAATTTACTCAAACAATTCAATTTATTTCGAGGATAAACCTGCATAATTTTAGTCGATTTGTCTGATTTTTGTATGAGATTAGAAGAATAATTAGTTAAATAAGATTCTCGTGGTAAAAGTGCAATTTGCCCGGGAAAATTTGGCAACATTGAAATGTAGTTACGTTCTTTCGTAAGTGAAACGACAAGATATCGTCTTTCGAGGATGAAATTGTCCATTTTATTTTTGTCCTCGTAGGACGATTTAGTTGTACGTACTAAGGTTTTAGTCAAGGTTCCTTTAGTTAATTTCGTCTCGAAAACAGGGAAAATCATACACTGAAAAAAAATTTCGGTAAATCCGAACTAGTTAGGATTATATGGAACTAGGTTTTGTTCGGTACACACAACTGAATTATTCGGTCTGTTCAACCGAATTGTTCGGTTTGTGCGACCGAACCATAATAAATTCTTACAGTTCGGTTCAATGGACCGGACAGTTCGGCTGAGCAGACCGAATAATTCGGTCGTGTGTACCGAACAAAATCGTGGTTCCATATGATCCTAACTAGTTCGGATTTACCGAACTTTTTTTTTCAGTGTACTCACATTTTATTTTTCTCGAAACACTTGCAGGAACCACAGCCGTTGGAGCCATGGACAAAATCACTCGATGCGACAAAGAATGCATCTTCCTGCCCGCAAATCGATTTGTTCAACCGCCTTAAAATGAAGGGCCCCTCTCAAGTCCGGGGCCAGGAGGACTGTCTCGTTCTCAATGTGTATTCTCCAAACGTAAGTTCTCAAGCAAGCAATCTGTTAAGTGCTCCTTCTTCAGGATTCTTTTATGCCCAGCGTACTGTGGTCGTGCCAGACGAAAAATAAAAACTAACATCAGAATATCATTTTGGAATCAGACTTACTACTTCTGTCTAAAAGTGATGATTAGTGTCATGGATATGGAGAGTCGCATATTATGTAATGAAGTTGCAAAGAATCGAAACCGCAGGAAAATCTAAAAACATCGGCTACATAAAAACTACAGATAATCTAATCATTATTGTAAATGGCATATAATCTAACCGCTAATTAGGCGACCGCAGGTAATCGAGTTTTTTGTATTATTTGCGCATACTTACATCCCTATAAAATAATATTTGAATGTTGTTTGATTTCTGGACGACCTAAGTTGAAATACAGTTTACCGAAAACTTGTACGAGTATTTTTAGACAAAACTACTCAAAGTTAATTCCGGAAAAGTTCCCTGTTTTTTTCTCTGTGCGAAAAAAAACTCTGTGAGATTTTCAAGAAATTACATTGTTTTGTCTTCCTTCAAAAAATTTTAATAGGAGCGGAGATTTTTAAACACCGCAAACGAGATACATGGTCTGGTAGTTTCACAGTCGATATATACTTATGATGCATTGATTACTAATTATCTTCCCTAGGAACTGATTCCAATATTCCAGTTATAAGATTTTCCAGAGAAAGCATGAAACACCTGAATACAACTATTATTGCTTCAGGGTCATCCGTGTTGCATAAGCAACAAGTAGAAGGCACTCGGAATTTTGTTTCCTCTCAGCGACAAGCGTCGCTCCCGTAGGTATCTGTTCATTCAGCCACGATTCGAGGCGGTGCTGTGCAAGTAAACTTGGTGCAATTAGCCACAGATTATAATTAATGTTGTGCGGTTACATAAAACAAGAAAAATGAGTGGCAAAATGCAAGAAATTTTATTTTGTGACGGCACGCAACAAAACTTTCTACAGCTAGGCGCAGATTCTGGAATGACCTTTTGACCATCTTCGCCGATTGAAACTAATATAGGGAGAGGAATCATTGAAGTGCATCTCGACAAACAGATTCAGATGTGACATCATTTTAAACGAAGTTTATAAAATAAAATAATTGTACTTCAAATTACGTTCATTTTATAGAATCCTCTGCTCATTCGTACATTTCAAATTCCTGTTATTACAGAGTTGAAAATGGGTGAAATGAAAATTCAGCGTGTAGGCTCTTAAATCCCCAGAAATGTCATAAAGTATGCGAAATCGCTAACTTAATACAAAGTTTTTGATTAAGAAAATTCATCCATTTTTGATCCATAGAACCTTGCACGAGTCTCCCTACAATTCAGGAGGAATTTCGCTAAAAATCTCGTGGGAAAAGATTCCAAGTCTTGTTTCAAGAAGAAAAATTGAGTGCAGAAATTATGAAGTAAAGTATTTGAGATTAATCTTTTTTCAATCCATATACTGGCCTCTGAATTTCAACGAAGTCATTTGCAAATTCATTTTTTCTTTGGCTCTAACACATTAATGTTGATTTAGGATTTATTTACTGTTTTCCTTAGCTAGAATCATTCATTTGCGTTTAAAAAAAGAATTTCGTATTTACCATAACTCATTTGACTCCCTCCTGACAAAAAGCATCATGGATACAAAATGTTTATATAGCAGCCCTTGACATTCGAAACATGAAAAAACGAGGGAGAAAAACTGGAAAAATGGCTATTAGTACGTGTGATAAAAACCGAGACTTTTCGGCTCAGAACAAAGTCATTTTCAGTCGGATGGAAACACTACATAATATTAAAAAAAAATTGAAAAAAACCTAAGATCCACCCTAGATTTCAGGTTTTTTTCAAAATGCATCATCTGAGCCAACGTCAATCGCACAGTGTCCGATGAAGACACCTGTTTTACTTCCCTCAGTAGCCATCGCACCCGGAAGCACTGATAAAACTATGAGATTAGGAGGCATATCATCTGGCTTATTGCTTCTCAAAAAAACATTGTGCCACACAGGTAACTTTTGTGGTATTCTTTCATTTTGAAGGCGCATTAACAATTCGCCGTTTCTATGTTAACCCCCTTGGAACACTTATGAACGGTAATTAAACGGCAAATGCGATTTACCCAAAAATCTATACAGTTCTTTGTAAGACCAAAATGGCCAAAATCACAAAATTTGAATCAGCTAACGCAAATCTAAAAATAGTTATCGTGAACGAAAGAAATTGTCGACAGAGGTCGGGTAACTATTAATTACCAGGTCTGTCCGGAAAGTATCCGACCTTGTTGATTATATCGCCATCAACGGTTGATAAGAGGTTGGGGCCTGGAATACTCTTTGCAGAGACTCTCCTGAGTGCAGGTGCAGGTGCAGGTGCAATGTCGGATTACCACACGTTAAATCAGTCGTTGGTGATTTGCTGATTAGTGCGTGCTATTCTGCTGTGTTCGTCGCATTTCGTTTTTCCTAAAAAAATAGGAAGTTAAGGAGAATGAGATGGGAAGAGTTTGTGAAGAAGATCATCACAGGGGACGCATCTTGGGTCCACGGGCACGACCCTGAGACAAAAGTGCAATCGTCAGTTTGGATCGCACCTGGGAGACGTCGCCCGTAAAAAGCTCGGAAGAGTCGCAGCAATGTGAAGACAATGTTGACTGTCTTCCTCGATCATGAAGGTGTCGTCCATCATGAATACACTCCCCAATGCTCTACTATCATTAAATAGATCTATCGAGAAACTGTACGTAGCTTAAGGTGATTCGTCAAGCTCAAGTGACGTGGTCGAACTGGCATGTGATATTTCGCATCTTTTAGGAAACAATCTAGGCAGATTTTGAATTTTCAGCAAAAAAAAGGACGATAGCCCCTGCGCATGAGCTTAAAGAATCATTCTAAACCCAAAAATCTTAAAAATTCAGAGAAATGAAAGCAGAATAGTGTTTGGAAAAAAACCTCGCATTCGATACAGAAATCGATAGCTGCGTCGAATGCGAGGTTTTTTTCCGAACACTGTTCTGCTTTCATTTCTCTAAATTTTCCGATTTTTGGGTTTAGAATGATTCTTTAGGCTCATGCGCAGGGGTTATCGTCCTTTTTTTTGCTGAAAATTCAAAATCTGCCGAGATTTTTGACTTAAAGATGCGATACATCGCATGCCAGTTCGACCACTTCTTTTGAGCTTGACGAATCACCTTAAGGGGCTTGGAGAGCGTATTCATGATGGATGACACCTTCATGATCGAGGAAGACAGTCGACATTGTCTTCACATTGCTGCGACTCTTCCAAGCTTTCTACGGGCGAGGTCTCCCAGGTGCGATCCAAACTGACGATTGCACTTTTATTTCAGGGTCGTGCCCGTAGACCCAAGACGCGTCCCCTGTGATGATCTCCTTCACAAACTCTTCCCACCCCACTCTCCTTAACTTCCTCTTTTTTAGGAAAAACGAAATGCGACGAACGCAGCAGAATAGCACGCACTAATCAGCAAATCACCAACGACTGATTTAACGTGTGGTAATCCGACATTGCACCTACACTCAGGAGAGTCCCTGCAAAGAGTATTCCAAGCTCCAACCTCTTATCAACCGTTGATGGCGAAATAATCAACAAGGTCGGATACTTTCCGGACAGACCTCGTATAAGTGGGATGGGATGGAATGACATCAACGCACTCAACATCTAATCTCTTCGCACCAGGTCGCACCCTCGAGGGTCTATTGCAATCTTTTTGAGTTCCTTCGATGTATATATGTAGATATGAATGACCAGATTTCCAATGCCACTTTTGATACACTCGAGAGTAGACGTCTAGACGTGACTCTATCACGATGGGAATATCACCATGGACGAAATTTTTTCTGATTTTTGGGGGTTGTGTGTTATGTTGTTGTGCTTTGGAAGTTTCGACTCCGAATGGGAAGATTATTGGATTTGATACGCTAAGGACGAGAGATGGAAGAGTGATCCACAGTTTCACAGGGATCCCTTTCGCAAAACCTCCCATTGGACCTCTGAGGTTCAAGGTTAGTCTGATAAGTACCACTTCCTCCACTTTCATTGAAATTAAAAACATCTCATCATTACTCAAACTTACTTGTTTACTAATCAGCGCTACAATCCTTCACGGGTCTTATGAAATTGTATATTTGATTGATGTTCTCCTTTATGCGCGCGGTGTATTGAGTTGGCTCATAAATATCTTATTGGACGCAAATTTGGATTATTTTTAGCAAAAATCTTCAAATTCTCCTTGCCAAGCAGCGTTTTTTGCATGGTTATGACCGGGGCCGGATTAAGGGGGTGGCCACATGGGCCGCGGCCCATGGCGGCAAATTTAGGGGGCGGCGAATTTTGCAATTTCTTTTAATGTAGGTATAAACATATCGGATTCAGTAATAAAACTATCAATGAGAAAAGGGGACGAAATCTCTCTTTCCTGAGAGTATAGTAATTTCTAATTTTGTCGTTTTTCGGTGATACAAGAAGTAGCATCTTTAAATAGTGGAGTGGAGAGAGGAACTAAACACGCAATTTGGCCTGGAGCTTAACGCAGAGAGGATCGATGACGAGGACTTGAGATGAAAAAAACAAACCCTCGGCGCGGCGATCGGCATGTAACACATATTAGCGCCTACAAGACTGCATGAATACTTCACCCATTGCGCCAAACACAGTGCGGTCAGGAGCGGTTGGCGTGAAACGTATAGCGCCTACAAGAGTGCAGGAATACTTCACACATTGCGTCAATCACAGTGCGATCAGCGTGGTTCAGCGGCGGAAGTTAAAATTATTAAACCACATTCATGTTTGTTCTTTCATAATTTTTCGGTTCATTTCTTATAAATGGAGGACGTTGTCCACGTAGAGATAGGTTTACGGAACTTAACTTTCGCGCAAAGTTACGTGAATTTTTGCTAGTAGTACTG